GGGAAACCGCAGACTCTGATTCGAGGAGAGCCCAACTCCCAACCCTCCAGGACCAAAAAACCTGAGCAACGGGAACCATAGTACATAGGTGTCCTTTTGGTTGAGCATAGACGGCTCTGGTAGATTGTGAAGCAACCAAGGGCCATCGATTTCCACCAAAACACGCACGCAGGACACCTTTGCTATGGCAGGTAACCAGGCATTGTACCTCAAGGTTCGACAGTACCGTTTCCCCTAGTTCCCTACTATAGTGGTAGCTGGAAGCGCTGGGGTAACCAGCTGATTCTCCTTTTGGGTGTTATATTGAGTGGCTCCTTTGGTTACCCGCTGTACTTGGATGTTCGGCCAAGTCTAGTAAATGGTTAGCCACCTGAGTTACAGCCCACGAACAAGGCTAACTCCACCTAGGCGGACTTGTGAGTGGGCTACAGCCCAGGATTCTAACAACATACTATCTCAGCCGAGCACCAAAGTGCGGCTGAATGAAATCACTGGGCAGGGGATGTTGCAAACAGCTCATCTAAGGCAAGTCATGCGCGAGCGCCGGCCAGCAGTATCTAAGCGCGGGTCAATTTGGCTGCTGCAGGTGAGGGAGGAGAGGAACATGATCAGGGCCTCATGGCAACAACAATACCTCTAACACAACCTGTTTTAGGGGACCCACCAAAATTGTGTGTTTCCCTTTCGGTGTCCGTTGAAAACGACGAAAAAAAGGTACCCTCAAAAAAGACGCATGCATAGTAACATCTCCCAAATACCTGTTTCTTCCCCTGAGTGCACTGGCCAAAGCAAGTCTGATTCTTCAGTTTGCCACAAAGCAACGGTCCCCCAAAGTATAAGAACCGAAAACTCGGGAAGCGAGCCTGGGATCCCCATGAACCAAAACAAACACCTCACCAAAAGACACACCCATAGCCACAATTACGAAGGTTCCTGAACAAGAACGTCTGAACAATTTGTGTGAGCGCTCTGGTCTTGGGTAACACATGTGCTTCTCTCAAATAGAGCATAGTTGCCCGAACCTGTGTGGGTTCATTTCAAAGGGGAGCCACCACAATGGTAGCTCCGTTTGGGGCTTCCCTTTAAAGCAACCCAAAAGAGTACCCTGAAAAAGGCGGACTCAAGTTAAGCTCCACGGCATGTTGGAAAGCGCAAGCATCTGCTGTCAGTCTGTAGGCTTCGGCATAGACCATCATCGGTGACCATCGGCAGTCCCACATCCTGCACGAGTCAAAGGGTTGTGGGCAATAAACCTTTCTACCTGAAAGGGTTGTGGGCATCCAATACAGCAACTGTGCCAACGAGCCCCACCTTAAGGGGGGAGGGGAAGTGGGGGGTCCTCCAATTCCATGTATCCAGTCTTTCCCAATGGAAAATCGAACTATAAGTCGACCTGGAGTCTCCATCACCCTCAAAAAATGGTTGGTCATTACCCGAAATGTTGGGGTCATTGACCCATTTTTTAAGGGTCATGGAGACTCCAGGTACTGTGGATGGACGATTTCCTGCACCACTTTGAATCCGCGGGAAACCATCGTTGGTTGGTATTTAGGTGGTGCAGGATTTCGTCGATCCAACGTATGATGCCAAAATAAGCCATCCTTGTGACTGCGTCACTTTAGAGCTTCTTGGTCACGTCAAAGCGGACTTGCTGGGTTACTCAAGCAGACCATCCTTGTGACTTTGTCAGATATCCTTGGTATCACAAAAAGTGGGGGGAGGTAAACATAGAGCCTTTCTGATGATCATCTGTCCCTTGCGGCATCTTTTGAAGAGAAGTTGCCGTGAACTGGCATGCAGAGACGCACAATATGAACAGGTAACTCGCCTTGATAACAAAACGTAGAGTCACCATAGCGGTCCTCTGGTAAAATAGCTTGGTTTCGCTGGTAAATGGAGTAAAGCCAATCTAAACCAGTGCCATCCATTTCTACCCAAAGTAACCTGCAAAGGACACCCATGATAGTCACAACGTCTTGAAACTGTTGACCTGGTGGGAAGAATGGAGACCACGTTTTTGCCGGGCACCCACCGAAGGAGAATTTCAAAGGATGAAACACACTGAACATCGGGCAGCACGTGGGTCGCATACAACAAAAAACAAAAAAAACAACTGTCATGAGTCAGAAGGGCTCGACATATGAAAGAACCCGTGGCTCACTTCCTGAGTGCCAGAAAAACGAGCCCAAACTTTTGCTTACCCAAATGGTCCACGCCCAAAAAGTTCGAAGCCAAGGACAGGAAGCTTTTGACAGGAGCGGTGAATCCGCCGGGTGGAAAATTAATTCACTCCCTCAGACTGCCGGAAGCTCCCAGAAGGCCTGAACATGGGTCAAGTCTTCCATGGGAGCTTTGGAATCGCCTGGGGGAGGGTACCCTCTTCAGATTCATTCAACAGGCTAAACTCACTTCCTGAGTGGACTGGCCAAAAAAAGTTCGAACTCTTTGTTTATCACTACAATGGTCCAAACCCAAAAAGCGTCTCAAGTCCATGAACTCAGGGAGTGAGTCTAAAAGGCAGGTTCCTGCAAACACCTATTTTGGGGATTCCGGCCCGAATGATTCGCCGTATCTGTTTTTCTTCTTTGACTGAACCTGGCACTTCCAGAGGGGGACCTGGGAGCCTCCATGTTAGTCTGGGGGAGGGTACCCTCTTCAGATTCGTTACTGGCCTGCCCTCATATCCCCCGCTAAAAGCTTAACTTTTAGTGGGTTAAATGGAAACTGCCACTAAAAACTAAAAAGCTAAAAGGCTAAGGAACCGGAGCTGGGAGCCACCAAGATTAAACAGGCTCGGGTCCAAACCTAAAAAGTGACTCAAGTCCATGGAGTGAGAAAAAAATAAATTGCTCGGAAAACCCTGGAAGTGAGTCCAAAGTGGTGTTCCTTAGGTCCTCCAGTAGAGAGGTTTGAATAAGGGTACCAACTTTTTGCTGATGTCTATTTCAGTAGGGGAACCGAAACCCTCCTGGGGGACCTAGTTTGGTTGCCCTGTGAAACCACAAAAAACAGCTGCCAAAGTCCAAGTTCCGCAACTCGGGACGCTCGCGGCTCGATCCAAAACGTCTGAGGCGCAGGCGCTAGATCCAGGCAGAAACTATCCAGGGTCTGCGCACGGGAGAATGCACTCAGCGACTACGTACTCGAAATACTGTACCCGCCTTTTTGATGGTATTTGTTTGAACCAACCTGGTTCTTTATGGTAAATAGCTCCTTTCTTAGTAGAGGCTTGACATGATACCCAAGAAACTGGTATTAGGAGTAGGGGGTAGCTGGAACTCTAATGGACCCCGACATGCATCCATCGACTTCGAAGAATCTTGTTGGGCCTCTTTATTGAAAGGCGCAAACCCCACACGTTCTTTGAGGGTGGACTCGAACAGTACCTGGACAGATAGACCCCGCGCCGCGTTTCTGCCAAACTGGTACAAAGGCAGGCGTGCTGTGGGGGTCCAGGGACTTGCTGCCCTCAGATCCCCCACTAAAAGTTTGACTTTTGGTGGGTTCAATGGAAACTACCACTAAAAACTAAAGAGCTAAAAGGCTAAGGAACCGGATGGCTGGGAGCCACCAAGTATAGGTAACCTGGATTTTCTTAACCTCTAGGTTTCACATCATGTTTTCCCCGGTTCCCGAATACAATAGAAACTGCAGCAAGACAGATATTGGGAGCCTTAGGGCCACAAGACACCCCAAGAGTATGACGAAAGGCCCATCTGGACCCTGGCACTGCCCTTACAAATGGGATATTGCCCACAATGATTGGCTTAAATTCAATTTGCGCGGGTAGTTTGAGGGTCCAGGTACATTGTCATTCTTTGCACGTTGCAACTGCGCGATCCCCTTACTATGCCGTCAATACACTATGTAGAACCTCCTGTAACGTGTATCCGTCGGCTCACACACACAAGACACATGAGGCCCAAAACGCACACACACACACATACTTGGACGGGTCTCCAAGTTAGTAAGCGGTTGGCCACCTAAGTTACAACCCAGTAATAACAGGGTCAACTCCATTTAACAGCCTTATGAACCGGTTACGGTTATAGCTTTGCGAACAACTTGCTAACTTGGTGAATCGAACACCCAAGTGGTCCACGTCTGAGTTGGCATCCGCCTTGCGCACGACATAGTCCAAGTCCTTTCCTCCTGGCAGCCGATATTCAAGTCTTTTGGGCTGTCCGATGCGATGGCACTAAGCTGCCCAACGTTGTTTTTGGCAGCCCCCTTACGGAGAACCAAGCAAAAAATCAAAAGAACCAAAAAGAACGAAACAACCACTAAAAAGAACAAAAACAACCACACAAATCAAACAACATGATCCAACAGTGACGCTAAAGCCTTTCGTGCGATTCGGCAAGCCGCAAGCCCAATGACTCATCTTCCGATCCAGTGGATCCACTGACATGCGTCAGTGTCAGTGGCGGTCTGTGGGCATCCAATACAGCAACTGGGCCAACGAGCCGTACCTTAAGGGGGAGGGGAAGTGGGGGGTCCTCCAATTCCATGCATCCAGTCTTCCAACGGAAAATCAAACTATAAGTGGACCTGGAGTCTCCTTCTGACCCAAGTCAAAAATGGGTTAATGACCCCAACATTTTGTCAAATGACCAACCATTCTTTCAAGGGTCATGGAGACTCCAGGTAAGTCCGAAACGGAACTCAGGGCTACCACAATGCTTTGTAACTTGCCAGGGCTCTACCTGTTGGTTTCATACATAGAAACTTCCACTGGTCGGAGCAGATAGTCGCACATGAGTCACAATCAAAGCCCAGTGTTGGAATGGTCGACCCAGAACCATGTAAAGAATTATGAAGGCGGCCGCAGCTATTTATGGTTGGGATTGTCCCTTACCAACCTTCGCTTACCCGGGTTTTGATTGTGACATGAACTTTAGGAATCATACACCTTGATTCCAGGCGCTGTCACCCGATTGGACTCAAATGAACTTAAGGAATCACTCACATGAACTTCTAAAATTATACACTCACCTTGAGTCCAAGCGCTGCCAAAAACGAGTGGCCCCAAAATCCCCACCCCCGGCGGCTCACTCGCTCGATTGGCCCCAAACACCCAGCCGGCGAACCGCTCGCTCGAGTCGCTTGTCGAGAAAAAAAAATGCGCTGCCAAAGCCACGCCCCATGCTCTCGGGCTTCAGGAAATGGCACTGGTAGAGCCAGGTCCTGTACCTCACGGCCGGACTTTGTTGAGATGTCTCAAAAGCAGCTGGGCCGCTTTTTTGAAGGGTGTCTCAAAGGGAAACCCAAGAACATCTGTGAGAAACAGCCATTTGTGTTTCAAAGGAAGTTGGGCAGCTTTTTGGATAAGGTCTCAAAGGGACATTTGAAGGACATCTGCCATTTTACGGGGTCCAAAAATTGGAGAACACCATGTATGTGCTGTCTAAATCCCTTTCGGCGCACACCTGTGGGTTTCATATAAGCCACGTCCACGTGTCATGATTTGCTAGGCGTCATTTTGCTTACGCCACCGAAAACGTGCGTGGAGTTGTCGCTTGCGCACAGGCCGATATGATGCAACTCTTACTGAACTACATACACGGAGGTTTTGGACGTTGCTCATACGAGCCATGGTCTTCACTCCTTATATGGGCTATGGTCACAGTTCCCCTACTGGGAATCATTACACTGGCGATTCAGGATCCTTAGTACCAGGTGGATGACCATGTCAACATTAACCCCAAGTAAACAAAAAGGTCTTTTGACTGTGACACACATGAGCTCACACCCAAGGGGAATCAACTACATGTGCCTACACTTTTGCAGGGCAACCACGCACAGTTCCGATTGCCGACTGCAGCTCACGTTTTTTGATTTTGGCCAGTCAATGACGTTCAGTTTGTCACTTTTTGGGCGGAAGAGCCAGTTGGTTGGACTGTTTCATCGCCCCCCGGTTGCGCCAAAGCTGATTCAAGCTCAGGCCTGTCCCCACGTCTAACGGCAACCGACTGATTTGGTTCACAAAATCATGGCTGTGCAATGCGTCCCATGTCCGCAAGGGAGAGCCCGAGCTTCGGTATTAAGAGAGGAATCATCATTCCAGGGCTTCTGAGGAGGTGCAGGATTTCGTCCATCCACAGTAGGTGGTGTTGAATCTAGCTTCGTGCATCCCAGGGGAGTCAGAATCAAAACCCGGCATTAAAATGGTCTGCCCAGGACTATGTAACTGAAGCATTGAAAAGGAGGCCGTGCCCATTTATGGCGGGGATTCTCCCTTACCCTCCAATTACCCGGGTTTTGATTGTGACTCAGGTGGATTTCGTCCAAAGCATCAGTACCTATGTGGTGAGGGAGACATAGCCGGGGAAAGCAACATGTGAGTCTGGATCCTAGACCCCGAACAAACCCCACAATTGTTGGTCAACGAGACTATGGACACCTCGGGGCATCATTTCTCCCAACTCCCATGCTTCTCGACCATGTACTTTGCCCCAAGGATAAACTGAAAAGTCACCTACCCTCGGATCTTGGGCTCAACCCGCATTACGAGAAAGGTTGGCCCAATCTAGATGACAATCCTTAGCCAACCACTGGTTGTATGAATCGCAGGGTATAGGGCCGATAGGGCAAATCTTGGATGGCTTTGGAAAGGACACAGGTGTGTACATCCGAAGAGATTCCAATCGGAAGGTGCCAAGTGTGCAATACTATGCTTCCACTTGCTTTAGCCCCCTGGGAAAGAACAAGAAGTGATAGATTGCCTTTACAACCAGCAAGGGAGGATGAAACATATTCTTAGGCATATAGATGAGTTATAGATGTATGTGGCTCTCACCGGTGGATGCCAACTCAATATTGCCAGTGTACCAGCCAAACGCACCAAAAAGAGAAAACACTTTTTGGACTGGCGCGAGGGAGCCTCAACAGGTCGCCAGGTCTATGGTCATACATGGGAAGGCCACAGGGAACGCCAACACCCCAAACAGATTCTGAGAACCTTAGGACTCGTCCTGGACTCGTCCTGGGATCATGTTGACTTGTAGTGGCTAAAGCCAGAAAATGGCGGGGGTTTCCCGTGCTCATTGGGGCGAACTGTGGTTTCTTGAACCTCAAAATGGTGAGTTTCTGCTCCGCTTGCTTTGTAACTTAGGCCCAAAGTTGTACATGAGAAGCCAAAGAGCGGTTCATCGCCGGAGCACCCAAGCTTATCTCTGCCGCAAAGGCCTTCTGAGGGACACCGCAGCAATTAACTCCCCTAGGTCCTGCAGTAGAGAGGTGAAAATAAGGGTGACTTTTTGTTTGCAGTCTATTTTAGGGGAACCCTACCCCAAGAAAGGGGAGAGAAGGGCAGTACTGGGGAACCTAGTCCCAAATAATCCGGGAAGAAGTGTTGGGGTGTCCATTTCCGGGTCATTCGGAGCTTCTCACGTCGAGACTTCGAGCGTTCGAGCCGAGTCGCATCAGTGGGATGACCTTGAAGAGGTAGGGATCTGTTTCCAGCACACGCCTCAGGCAGAGTTTATTTTGGGAAACTGGACGTTGCAGTGTGGACCCTCCCTCCCAAACCTGGCCAGTCCATGGCCTCCCCTAGCCGCGTGCGCCAGTGTTGCCATGGCAGCTTGGGTGCCCTTCAACGTGTCAGGTTAGGTGTACCCTTCCAACTGCTATAGGAAACTGGACGTTACAGGGGGTACCATTGTGACCTTATGGAATTGTCACCTTGCAAGAAAATTAAGTACCTGGAGTCTCCATGATCCGTCCAAAATACTGGGGTCATTAACCCTTTTTCAAGGGTCATAGAGAGTCCAGGTAGGCTGATATGTTCACCCCTGCAAACAGCGAACCGTGTTGCTAGTTCGTGTGGCCGATGCTTCCGGTTGCGTAGTAGGCAAGCAGTGAAAGCGATTACGTCACACTCAGAGGTTGTCTACTATATTTGGTGGTATGTCTCTTTTTGGGGTACCGCTTCAAAATGGTGGTTTTCCTTTTGGATTCCCAAGCTCAAAGAAAGACAGACCTGTATTGCGGTATCTGGAAGCACTGGGAGGCAACTGTCATGCCCAGGTTGGAGATGTTCAAAGGTTCGCTCGGTCGCTCTCCACACAACAAGGTAAACAGCTTGGACCGCCCTTGTTGACCCCTGTTTTCTGCCCGAAAGAAAAACAAGTGCTTTTGGCACGTAGCTGCAGTTTTTCTTACCAGAGATTCTTCCTTTGTCAGAAGGCCTCTGGGCAAGCTTTCCCCCAGCGAATCATGTCTACTACATATGGGTGTCTTTTGAGGGTACTCCTGTTTTCTTTTTTTCCTTTTTTTAAGGGACACCAAGACGGGTGTAGGGCACCCTAGATACACCAAGGGTACGCGGAAAGGCCTACTTGGACCCTCAACTACCCTAAAAGTCAGAATATAGCCCATCATGTTGGCAAACAGCTTTGCTCTTGCACGCACACCACACCTGAACAGAACCCGACATGCAAGAATTACGAGAACATGCCGGGAATAGTGGTCCAACAAAAACAAACTCGGATGAGGTGAATCCCGGGCGCGGACACGTCAGTACCCATTCCGGTGCCTTTGGGCACTCTGAACATTGGAAACCCGACTCCTTTGCTTGTTTGGGGATTCCTTGTTGCTTGGACCCGTCACATGTCGGCACATGGTCGTTACTAATTTGCCAATGCTTGATAAGAGGGTCATAACCATGGGGGATCGACACTTGGATGTGTGTTGCCAAGATAGTAAGTGGTTATCCACACACTTCACTCCGCTGAACGTTCGCTCGGGTTGCTAACAGCTTGCTAACTTGTCGAATAAAACACCCAAGTACTTCAAGTCCTTGCTTGAATCCTTACCCCTTCTGCAAATACGCGCCGTTTTTAGGTTACTTCTTGAACAACCCGTTTTTGTTTTTCCATGGTAAATACCTAACCATGTTTGACTTGCTGGTGTTCAGTAGAGAATGACCAACCCGGGGCGTTGGGAATGAACCGGTTTTGGGGGTTCCCTTAAAGGAAGCCATGTTTGCAATGGCTGGTGCTCGGTAGGGAATGAGGGAATGAACCTAGGGAGTCTCTTTAACAAAAACCACCAGTTGGGTTCAACCTAGGGATTCCCCTGAAGGAAACCACCAGATGGATGGCTTATCTCGGTGTCATTCCATGTCTCATTCCCTGCGAGTTTCGCACCGGCGAGTTTGGAGGATTGACATCATCCAGCAAATCCATAAGTCCGCGCAAAAGCGCGGTGCAACAGGCACGGGATTACCCAAAAGCCGCGGAAGCAGAAGAAGAAGAAGAAGAAGAAGGAGAGGATTGAAATGGCTGTGGGTCAAAAGCCCGTACCCCCAGTGAACATCCCAATCCCCACTAAAAAAAAACTAAGATGGGTGGTGCACCTACCCCAAAGTAGTACCATTATTTGGCTGTGGGTCAAAAATAGGTACCCAAAATGGCTTGGTACATGGAGACATGGACGATTTAACCTGCGGTCCATATCCTGGTGGTTTAATTTTGACCCATACCCAAATGATACCCCGGTGTCATGTCAGCTCCGGAGGCCGGCACGCCCATCGACACCCTCGTTGCTCGACTCGCGCCTGCTTTTGGGCAGCACGTCCCGGCCGGCGAGATCCACAATCTGCGCGGTTTTCGCTTGGGAGCCAATCGAACGAAGCAAGCGGACACCGGGGAAGCCACCTGGTGCATCGAGTGGCCCCTTAAAAGTTGACCCTAGATACAAACTCATCCTATAAAACTATGTGGATGCTTCTTTCAATTTGGGGGCCCCGTTCAGGTAGGTGCTTCCTTTTGGTTTGCCTTTATACATCCTCAAAGGGGTCCGTCCCCCTGTTTTCAGATAATAAATGAGAGATCCACAAGCTTTTGTGTTGTGTGCTGTTCAACTTGGCCAGAATGTTTCTTGGTTGAATTTGCACCTGCTTGTTACGTAACAACAGCCCCACTTTTCAAGGTGATTGTTGGGCGGAAGAAAACTCCCTGTTTGCTTGCAGAACAAGGGAGACAGTTTTAAGGTTGACCATAGCGCTTGGGTGTTCAATTTGACATAGTAAGTTGCTCCTAATCCAAGCTATAGATGTCATCCCTGTCCGCCCTTGAAATCTTATGAAACAGCACATTGAAACCCTTGTCACCCAAAACGTGTTGGCTCACCAAAGCCACGTAAGCGTCAAGCGAAATCAGCGGCTCTGATGGCCGTGAGCACATAACGCAGCTGTAGCTGTCCACGCGCTGCAAAAGCGCGTCCAGTCCATACGCCCCAGAGAAAGTTGCTGTTTGAAGGTGTTTTTGGAGATGTCATTTCAGCAAAAGTTGTCCATAGAGTTTATGTGTGTTTAAGCAAACAAGCAAGACTTCATAGCAGGGAGAAGCTATAATTCTGGTAAAACCACAACAAGTATGTTCACCAGCCTAGCGCTCAAAACAAGCAACACACGAACGCCTGGTTGCTGTGCTGGATCCAGGAACTTGCACCGGAACTGTCATTTTGCTCATGTAGGCAAGCTCCATCAACTCCTGGAACTTTGAGCTGTGACACATAGCCTTTACCAACAGCATGTGCCTTCCCTTTGCATAGATCTACATCCGTCCTATTTCTAAGCTAAGGTGTGGTCAGAAGATGCAAACACTCAGCAAGTTTGGAGCCAACAGCAAAAAAGGAAAATTTGGAAAATTCTGGAGCCATTACAAGTAAAAACAACAACAATGCAAAATGTATCAACAGAACAAAGTGACACACAGCAAAATTCTGGAGCCAATGAGTCAACATTCAAAAGTGAAGAAGCAAAAGGTTACAAGCGGGAAAAAAACAAACAAAAAAACATGTCCCGGCATAAAATTGACCATGGGTTGAACTATTCTACTTGTTTACTTGTTGTTATTTATTGTGTTTTACTTGTTGTTTTTGTGTCATTGGCTTTCGAATTGCACTTTTTACTTTCTTATTCTTTGGGCCTTTTGAGCCATCGGTACCACATATCCTAGAGTTTCTACTGCTTTACTTTTCGCTCCAAAATAGCTGATGACTTTGGATCTTCTGACCAAACCTCAGCTAGGACATAGGACAGAGGTGGATTTATAGTGGGGTTTCTATTTGTATACATATAATTATGCGTATATATAAATATATTTATGGATTCATGGGGGTTATATATATATATATATGCATATGTATACACAATATCTTTTGTCTGCCTGGTACCCTTGCAGGCGCCCAACCTAGCAGCCCCCGCCTGGAAGTTCGGATAGCTCGGAGGCTTTTCCCTCGGACGCAAGTTGAGTGGCCCACAGGTACCTTCGAAGGATGCGCCTCCAGTAGATTCCAAGACTCCAAGTACATTGGCACCTTTTTTTCAGTTGGGCTAGGAATTCGTCATATACACCGTCCTGAAATCCGCAGTTCCTCCAGTAGAGAGGTTAGAATAAGGGTACTGACTTTTTTTTCTGTGGTCTATTTTAGTAGGGGAACCCTCCCCAAAAAAGGGTAAAAGGATCTAAAAGGGCACAACTCGGGGACCTAGCTTCTGATGCGCCTGGGGGTCCAGAAAACCGGGGACGCAAGTCGCAAGACCCGTTCAGCTCCTTCATTGGAGCCTTTGCTTAGGGGTGATGTTGACCCAAGCTCCTTTTGGTTTCGTGGCTTCCCTACCATCTGTTGGCTTCTGGGGTGGGTGTCACCACCTTTGGCACTGAAAGGGGCAATCCATTCGGAATGCGAGGGCAAGTGGTTCGAAAGCCTGGTGAGATAACCCACAAAATTCACGGTTGTAGGTCTCCGTTGCGTGGGTTATAGCCAGGCTTACTCACCACTTACTAAGTGGCCGGTCGCCCCTTTAAGTAGGTGGCCCAACAAGCGGGTCAACGTACATCCTCAGCAAGTACGTGGACCCGCTGGTCTAGGGAACAAGCAGCTTGCTTACCCTAATTTACCGTCGTTTTTTGGTTAAGCATGATGGACTACCGCATCCCAGCACCGCTCTAGAAGCCTGGCCCACACTGAAGGAAAGCCAGGCGGTTTCATGTCGACCCCGGATGAACCAACCCGGTCCTACTAGTAGGAGGGTGCTCCCTCCCAAAGTGAGCAATGACTAAAATCACTAAAAGGGGACACCCCATCCCTCAAAGTCAACTCTGGGTTCTGCCCGTTTTCCGATCCCCCGCTAAAAGTGACTAACTGTTGGTGGGTGAAATTCGGAAACTGCCATTAAACGCTAAACGCTAAACTAAGGAACCAGATGGCTGGGCTTGCCACCAACAGCTTCTTCGATTTGCTTAAGCCCCCTCAAAAAAAACACAAAACATATATATATATATATATATTTTCCAGTAGTCATAAATTCCCTCTAAAAACCAACAGGGGGAAAATCAACAATATTCTTAAGCAAATGGATGACTATGGGTTCTGCTTCATCCGGGGTCAACATTCGCAACTGCGGTTTGTGTGGGCCTTCTGGGCGGCATGGCCACCGTGGATGTGTCGACGTCAAGCAAGTTGACGGTTCTTAGATTTCAATCGAATTGGGCTAGATCCCCAACATGTCCAAAAACGTTTAATGGTGTGGAAACTATTAAAGAAAGCCTTCTGAGATTTACCGTTGTCGGGCTGTTCCCTGATCCCCTAAAAGTCAAAATATTTCAATGGTGTGGAAACTACCTCTAAACTTTAAACCCAAACGACCTCAAAGTCTCAGGGCGGGAACCACCAAGCAATCTGCCATGATGTTGTGGTTCAGTATATGTTTGATGAGCTTTGAACTGGGAGAAGAACATGGGCATGCGTCGTACCTCGTCAAGAGACGCTCCTGCAAGTTCTTGCAGGCCACAAACAAATCCTCCCGATATGTAATGTATAAGCCAGTCCCGGCTGATTTATTGGAGGCCCCTCTTAACAGGGTTCACTTGCAGGTCAATTGATCCCCCCGCAGCAAGGAGCCTCCATAGCGCTCCACAGGGGAAAGGGATCTCTAGCAGGGTTCGGGCCCGAAAGGGGGAGGAGGTCCCAGAATTTTAGGGCGCACTTACCTCCCCCCCCTCCCACTACGTTGAGTACAGTTAGGCAACCAGTTTGCAGAATGTATATTTTGTTAAGTTTGCTTCACTTTGAGTCAGTGGATGTAAAATGCATCCTGGCGAGCCGAGTGGAGTTGACGCCCTCTTCCTTGCACTGGCCGCGCAGCTGCACGTGAGGCTAAGCGCACCGGCAGAGACCACGTTGGCCAGATGACAATTCGTCCGGAACCGGGTCCTCTTTTTCCAAGGGGTGCCGGACTTGCAGTAGTCGATCCGGAAGTCGCGGCAGTGGATCATGGGATGCCACTAACACACAAAACGGAAACAAGAGCAGCATAGATGTCCTGCTCGATGGGCTCACCGCGCTGGCGCCAGATCGAAGAACCGTCAGGGTTCTCGATCCAAAAAGTGCTTTCCGCTGGACAAAGTCAAAGTGCAGGTTGATTTTCTTCTGCCGACACGACACATACAAAAGTGGCAAGGCCAAAAAAGGATCGGTCCTGTGGAAATTCCAAGCACCGAAAAGGGGGTTGGGGGATTTCCGCAATTCAGGGCCTGGCCCACTTGGGGTAAAACACCCTACAAACGCCCAATGCAGGATACCCTCCCACCAATTAACATGGAACCTGACGTTTGGGGGAGTTCCCTTAAAAGGAACATCTTGGAGTCTCCATGACCTTTTAAAAATGGGTCAACGACGTCAACGACCCCAAGATTTTGGGGTCATTGACCAACCATTTTTCATTCGGGTCAGAAGGAGACTCCAGGATCCAAACTTTGGGACCCCGTTGAACGTCTCCGGTTCCATGGTTCCCTTAGGAACATGGTCCAAACCGGGAACCCCCCGAAACCTCCAGTTTCATGTTGACTCATGGAAGGCTACACCGAGCCGGACACCTCGACCCAAAGTCGACATATCCGAAGCAGTCTGAGCCCTGGACAGAGAGATCTCGCCCGTAATGGGATTTCTCCTGGCTCGAGATGCGGCCTTCCGATAGGCCAAATCTTCACCACCCGAACGGTAGCAACCAACCGTGTATGTTTTGCAGCCCACCAAAAACGAACAGAACCAAACGACTAAAAAAAAAACGACTAAAACCAAGAACAGTGAAGACATGTCTGCAATGATTCTTTATGAGATAGCCCCAAAGTGGCGCGACAACACTGGCGCCCAGTGCCAAGTGGGCTTTGGGTCTTCGAACATGCCACCCCGAGCCCGCTCACTTGGAATTGCACAAAAGGCGACGTGATCATCTGCTCAGCCAAAACGGGGGAAAAAATGGGCTGTCCTCAGATCCTCTGCAAAAAGTTTATATAGCTAGTGGTTTAAATGGAACTACCACTAAACCCTAAAACCCTAAAGGACGGCTGGGAACCGCCAAGACATCTGAGAAACCTCGGCACTGTAGTCTCAACTGGGTGATCCATGGGATGTACCGACCGGGTTGCTTTCGGATGCTAGACACGCGCTTGTTGGCGTATGCCAACAGAACCAATTTAGTCAGTAGAAGCACGAGTATCACTCGGGTAACTGAGAGGTTGGTCCCCCCTTTTGTCCCACAGTTCAGACCTACCTGACGTGCGTTGAACATCCTCCGTTTCTCATTGCCCAAAGAACCCAGAAACGAAAGGCTACCCTTTTGAAACCCTGACTACTAATGGACCGAAACAAGGAAAGCAACAGGTCAAAAGGTCGGATGAAGGACAGGTGAGGTTTCGAATTGGGCCCCCTGGACTTGTCTCACGCGAATCGACCAATCTCGCCAGGGGAGGTCCTGCATTTGCCCAGACTTGTCTACCTGGAGTCTCCTTCTGACCCTTTTAAAAATGGGTCAACGACCCCAAAACTTTGGGTAATGACCATTTTTCAAGGCTCAGACTCGGAGACTCCAGGTAACGCGAATCGACCGCCAGGTCCTGCATTTGCCCATCAGCACGCTGGAGGTCAGGAACTTCTGTTCCAGCTTCAGCTTCAGTGGCAGGCCTCAAGCGGCTCGGCAGTTGGAAGGAGGCTCAGCCAGCTTAAAAAAAAGGAGCGGTATTTGCCCTGGAAAAACATGTTTCTCCAAACAAATACACCAAAGAAAGTGGGTATTTGGAGTGGAGGTACCCAATGGACCGATTCCTTGTTTCTGCCGAAGTGACCCATAAAAAAGCGGTACAAAGGCAGAAGCAAGGGGTCCTTTGAGGGTTGAGTCGAACAAGGAACACCATTTGTTTGGCTCCTTTTCCCGAGTGGCACACTGTGGAATTTGAAGTCGGCTGTGCCCGAAAGGCTTGACAAACAAAGGAATCACTGTGCGGGTTGACCTAACATTCCAAACATGTCCTATCTTGAAGCTTGAGTAGGAAAGCAAATTGAGGTACCCAAAGATTCCAAGTACCTAGAGTCTCCATGACCCTTAAAAAATGGGGTCATTACCTAAAAAATGGGGTCATGGACCTATTTTTGATTCGGGTCAGAAGGAGACTCCAGGTACATTGGTACCTTTATGGTTTTGGGTTTGGTAGGAATTCGTCAAATACACAGTCCTCAAATCCGCAAACATAAGGTTGTTGAAGCCTTTGCGACACAAAGCTGACAGCTTGTATGGTCGCAGCTGGCAGCTTTGGCCACATCCCCACTGGCTGCTTTCTATCTGATTTATCGAAACACAAAAAAAGGAAAAGCAAAACAAAAAAACAACTTCCTGGATCGCCAGTTGCTGCTTTTTGTCCATCCACTTGACCCCAAAAACCAGCACCAGTGGCTGAAAAAAATGCAACTTGGCTATCCAGGTTGGCCCTTTTCTGGAGGCCCCAGAAAGGCAGTCCCCATCTTTACGAGACACGAGATGCGACGTATCCCTGCGTCCATCCCTTGAAGCCTTGGCACCTTGTTGGGGTAGCTGATAAGGCTAAGGGGCAACCCCCTCTGCAAAAAAGAAATCAAGCAGGGATCCTTACATTATACACCTGAACATTGCCTTGTACTTTGGGTGAAAAAAGCCTTGTTTCAAATGGGCAAAATGTATCTTTTCAGGAGCCCTGTCAAGGGTCGTGCGCATTGCCCATTTCTGTGATATCAACGGAAGACCTTCCAAATAACGCAACCCCCCTCTCATACAAAAAAAAACAAGGGTTTTTTTCGCACATGTTTCAGCCGGTTTCACGGCTGCCAGTTTCGGGGTCCTCGTGTTGAGAAAATCCAACGAACCTGGTACGTTGCAGATTCTGCCGTTCGGAAGTGGTGTATGTGGTGTCCCGCTTTCGGAAGCCGCCGAATACGAGGAAATTAGGCAACCTCCAGTTGACATTGCCTGGTTCTGCTTTGTTTCACTTAGGTGCACAGTTTTTTTTTTTTCGTGAAGCAACATACCGGTTGTTTTGCACGGCTTGAGCAAAATCGTTTTCAAGGCTTCCCACCGCGGGGTTGGGGTCCAGACTAGGCCTGTGCTCAACCATACAGAGGTCCGGGATCAAGGACCTTCCCGTTGAAAGGAGAATGAGCCCCCAGTTGGCTTGCGAAGGACATCTATTTCGCCCAACTTGAAAGTGTTGTACTTCTCCAGCCTGCGGACAGGAGCTGTTGGAAGGGTATCTGCCATAGGTGTCCTTTTGGACAAATCGACGGGTTTCCCTGGTAGGCGCATAACACCCATCTAAACCAGTGCCATCCATTTCTAACCAAAGCAACCTAAGAAGGACACCTACAATAGTCACAATGTCTTGAAATTCAGTTGCCCAGTGACCCTCGTAGGACACATGGACCCTCGTAGGACACATGGATCTAGGGGTACTTTCCAAATTATTTACAGGGATCCTTCTTTCTAGAAAACTCCAGGACCCAGGGAATACGGCCAGTTTCTTGAAAAGAACGATGGTTGAAAATAATGAACAAGGACTCATCCCCAGAGCACGCCCATTGGATGGACGAAATCTGCACCACCTGAGAAACCCTGAAATCACACTTCGCCTGTAAATGCCAACCAGCGTTCTGGTTTCTTATGGTTTCAAAGCGGTGCGAAACGGAATTCGCAACCATCCACGGTATTTTTGACAATGGACCCCCTAGTTCCCTCGAAGGACACATGGACCCCACTTTGTTCCCCACATCAACCACCATTTCGGGTGAATTCGGTCGTGTGAATCCACAGTAGGGGTCCATGTGTCCTACGAGGGTCACTGGGCAACTGAATTTCAAGACATTGTGACTATTGTAGGTGTCCTTCTTAGGTTGCTTTGGAAAGAAATGGATGGCACTTCAGATGAGTGTTATGCCCCATGTTCGAACCGCTCAAACGGACAAACAGACAGCGATGGATATCCGGGCCAGCCGGGCCGTTCTCATCATGAGCCAGCGTGTGGGCCTGGGGCTTCCCCTCCTCCTCCTTCTCTTTCCTCGGGGCAACCGACTTACCGTCTTACCGACTCACCCCAAACACCTCACGTCCCGTGGATTTGCAAAACAAAACAAAAAAATCCCCAACTGATCATGGAAGCTAAAATCCTGGCATGGAAGCTGCAATCCTGGCCTAAGTACATCGAAACCTCAAAATTGGCCCTTTTCATGGAAATTACTTGGGCCTTAAGCCCACCTTCGTCAATGGAATCCTGGACTCAGCGAACAGGAATTGGTCAAGGTCCATAGGGAAGAGCATTTCAGTGTCAATTTTCAATACCTGAAAGAATCGCTTGGATGCCCACTCGCCATGGGGAAAAAAGAATCGGCCTCTTTTTTTGCTTGGTTGAGTTCAAAGAAATCGGAACCCTTCCAAAAGAAGTAAAAAGGGGGGAATCCACTGGGCAGCTGAAATCGGTGAGCTCCTACGTCAAACCAAGCGGCGGGAGAAGCTTATGCAGTGGCCGCCGAAAGTCCCGACGCGGTTGTTGGTCCCGAAGTCAAATATGCGCAGCTCACTTGGATGTGGCTCAGCTAAGAGCCAGACCGCAGCTTTGAGTACTTTTCAATTTACCATCAGGGTTCCCTCCATTTGCTTAAATCCCTGGAAAAAAATGAAAAAAAGTCCAGTAGTGATCGATTCCCTCTTAAGAGCAACAGGGGAAAACACAGAACAAATACTCTTGTAACCAGATGGTCCGAAAGGATGCCCTGTGTGCTTGCCTGAAGTCTTCATGACCCTTGAAAAATGGTTGGTCATTACTACTCAAAATGTTGGGGGTCGTTGACCCATTTTTGATTCGGGTCAGAGGGTCAGAAGGAGACTCCAGGTGCTCATATTGGCCAAGCAGAAAGACCCAGGTTAACCTCGGTCAACGTGCAAGCGCGTGCAAGCGCGTGCAAGCGCGTGCAAGCGTGCAAGCCCACAGCTTGGAGGTAATCAAGCGTGTTATATGTATTCATCACTAGGTCCTCCAGATTTCAGAGGGTAAAATAGGGGTACCCGATTCTTTTCTTCTGTAGTCTATTTTAGTAGGGCAACCCTCCCCAAAAAAAGAAACGGTGAAAGGGCACCTAGCTGGGGGACCCAGATCATGTAGGGCAAAGATGTTCAACCCGCGCGTCGGCGCGGATGAAGGATCCCTGGAAAGAGCTGCAACTGCAATCCAAAGCAAGGGGTGCATGAAGTGGGCTTCCCCCAGTTGAACAAAGTATGTTTCGCTTGATGTGTCAAACCAACTTCTTCTTTGGACCCCCAAAAGGGGTGTGGTCTTCCTTTTGGTTGTTCAATCCGACCTAAAAAGGGCTCTGTCCAAAAACAATCAAACACACACGCACACACACACACACACACACACACACATAGATTGCCGCACCCACACCAAAGCGAAGACGGCCCATCCTCACGGCCTCCAACTCAAGGGGATTCAGTTGACCCCATTAGTCAACTAGCCAGTTTATTTACATGGCTGTGGCTCAAAAAACCGGAATTCCAAAATGGCTTGCCCTGGTAAGTGGAAACATGGAAACCAAAACCTGCGTAACCCTGGCTGTTTAATTTTGAGCCACACCCACATGGGGGTGTCCATTTCTGGTTGAAATGTGGGGAATCAGAACACTTTTGGAGGGCCCAAAAAACCACCCCCTATCAATAAACTGGTTGGTTGATTTTAATATGGGGTCAACATTATGATTATTGGTCAAGGGACCGCATGAAGGGTTAACCTAGGCAACCTTCCAGGCCCAATGCCTCAGGCGCAAGCCAATGTTGCAGCACCCAGCAACCATACACTAAAATCAAGATACCGACATCATCCAACAGCCAAAAACCAACAGCCTGCATGCAAACTAGACTCGAAATGTGCCATGAATCCCAAATTGTTTGCCTTTAAACGGGACCCGTGGATAGCTACCCTTGCCACCGTGTTCCCCTTACAGTACTTCCACTTTAGTGTGACCCTCAAATCGATTGGTGTGGGTTCGTTAATTGTCGACGTGGACGGCTCTTTTAATTCCCCTTCTGGAATGCCAGGGTTCACAAAGAGTTCTGGCGCAATATGGCAGTGGGTGAAAAACATGTACAAAAATGGCACCTTGGTAAATGAAACCAAAGACGACAACCTGCGCAAGCCTAGCTCTATCTAGCTCTTTAAGTTTGAGCTACAAACATATCCGAAAGCCTTGGAGTTCTGGTTGGAGGATCTTTCGCACCAGGGATCGGATGATCGGGTTCCTTTTAACTTTTGAGCCCCCGGCTCGCCATAGCTGCGAGAGAAGAAGCGGAGCTCCCGGGAAGTGTTGCCTGGTTGGAGGCAAGAAGCGCCTTTTTTTTTAAGTGGCTACCTGGAGTCTCCATGACCCTTTAAAATGGTTCAACGACCCCAAAATGTTGGGCAATGACTCCATTTTTGAAGGGTCATGGAGACTCCAGGTATGAGTTTTGACTTCAAAAAGTGCTGGGTGAACATGAATCACCACCAACATCATGTCCACCAAAGGACAACAACAGATTCATGCCCATCTCGAAAATGGCCCCAAGTGGTATTTTCATCAACCCCCAGAACCCCCCCCAAAACAAAAAAACTACTTCGCTTCGAGCAATCCCCACCCTCCACACTCACGAGCTTACGACCGTTGCAACAAATTCCTCCACATCCTAGGGACTTCGACTCCAAATTCCCATCAACTCAGCGGGATACTCGGCGGGATCCACTGGCGAGCCGCTTTGGCGGGATGCTCGGCGGGATCCACTGGCGAGCCGCTCTGGCGGGATGCTCGGCGGGATCCACTTCTGGCGGGATACATCCACTGGCGAGCAGCTCTGGCGGGATACTGGGCGGGATCCACTGGCAAGCAGCTCTTGCGGGATACTGGGCGGGATCCACTTGCGAGCAGCTCTGGCGGGTACTCGGCGGGATCCACTGGCGAGCAGCTCTGACGGGATACTGGGCGGGATCCACTGGCGAGCAGCTCTGGCGGGATACTCGGCGGGATCCGCTGGCGAGCTGCTCTGGCGGGATACTGGGTGGGGGGCGTGATGTAGAAGCATCGCAAACGCGGATTCCAACATAGAATCTAACAACCCCTTCCTGTCGGGTGGGGAACAAGAGACGTTGCCGTTGCGGAACTTGAGCACTTTGAGCTGTTAAGCACCCCCAAGCTTACCTTGGGCACAAAAGTGGCTAATCCTCCACTGGAGAAGCGCTTGGAGGGGCTGAAATGGCCATGGGTCAAAACCCAAATCGTACTCCCAGTGAACATCCCAATCCCCACTAGAATAGGTTCTAAAATGGGTGGTGCACCTATCCCAAAATAAAATGGGATCCCCTTGGTTCTGAACCATGGCCAAATGTCTCCTGGAATCGGAAGCTTTGGTTTGGTACTGCCCCCGAACTGCCCCAAAAGAACTGGGTGCTCTACAATAAGCTCACCCTAGGAAGCAAATCGGAAGGGACCTTCAGACTCGCAGGCTCGGCCAAGCAAGTGGCTAGCCACCTGTTTAATATAATGTTGACCCAGGATTAATAAACCCGTCCCATTAGGGGGGTGTTCCCTCCCAAAGTGATGAATCCCCACTAAAAGGGGACACCCCCCTATTAATCAACCAGGGGTTTCGTAATCCAGGGTTAACATTACAAAACTACCTGGAGTCTCCATGACCCCTTTAAAAATGTGGTCATCGACCCCATAATTTTGGGGTCATTGATCCCATTTTTGAAGGGTTGGAGACTCCAGGTAGATTGGCCTAAAACAATGTCCAACTTGTTTACGTAAAAGTACCACCGAAATGGTCCAAAACCGAAAAGTTGAAGCTTCAGGAACTCAGGAAGTGAGACAAACCAAGTCGTAGCCGATAATTGAAACTTTGGGGACTAAGCAGTCCCAGACTGAACTTGAACAATTAGCATATATACCTGGAGTCTCCATGACATTAGAAAAATGGAGTCATTGCCCAAACTTTAGGGGTCATTGACCCATTTTTAAAGGGTCCTGGAGTCATGGAGACTCCAGGTATAAGCTCAGTCGCCGGACTGAACTTTGGGATAGAAGTGATACCAGCATGAACATCGCAGACACTGGATTGGCCGACACATCTGAACATGAAATTCGAGGTCTAGGGACCTTCTTTGGGGTGGAAAATTCTACCCAAACGACCTTCCGTAAAGTACCTGCCTCCATTCTGCAATTTGCAACATCGGTGATCGAAAAAGGGTTCAATAAATATCCTTGGGCAGCGGTTGGATGACCAAAGTATTACAAGTAAAGCAACCACAATGCACAAACAATACGGATCCCATGAGGGAAATTCTTGTCAATTCCTTGTTTGGATCCAAAACAGAACTGAACCCCCTAAAGGACAATGGCAAATCACCGTAAATTAGAGGAAGGCCCTTGTTCCCCTCCGGTCTCAGTGCACAAAGCCTCTGGCGGGCAATCCATTTGCGAATACGTCCAAAAGAAAATATCAAAAACATATGCCCAGTAGTGAAACCGATTTCCTTGTAGGTCCTCCAGTTGGGAGGTTAGAACAAGGGTACCCATTTTTTGGTTTGCTGTAGTCCATTTTAGTATTGCAACCCTCCCCAAAAAAAGAAACCGGTAAAATGTCGAAACCGAGGCCCTAACTGGTGGGTTGAATGGCAGCCTAACCGCTAAACCAACTAAAAACAACCACCAAAAACGCAAGGAGCCGGACGGCTGGGAACCTTCGAGCGAAGAAACCATACCAAGCTTCTACAATTGGCTCGTCTTTGTTTGAGGGTTTCCCTCTTTGGGTTTCAAAAGGGAAGCCAAACTGACAACCACCATTTTGGAGCTGTCCCTAAAAGCCAAACTCAATTGGATATCGACCATCTTTTGGCTTGCGGTACTTCTGGAGTTCGGTTAAGAGCTGATTGATATCCTACTAGTTTCGGCTCGGGTCATTTAACAACAGGTATTTTTCCAGAAGCATACCTATAGGGAGTCCGCACTACGGGGTTGCTCGAATGCTTGTCAAGTACCCCAGACGTGGTGGTCCATGGTAACAAAGGGCGCTCTTTGCGTGGTTGGCTTACACTGGAAATCCGATCAGTTGATCAAGAAACAACAAAACAGAAAGAGGGTATTTGGAGTAGAGTGAAGAAGCTGGAAAAAAGGGCTCGCAACCACCTGGGTGTCTGAAAATTTCAAACATTCAGGTCAAGCGGCCATTTTTTTCCAAGAGGAAACCCGTTTGGACATCAAGATGCGGAGATTCAAGTCCACCACAGAAAGGGAAGGTGGTTCCAACTCTGCTTTTTTTTTAGGTTGGGCCCTCCCAACTGGCGGCTTTCCTTTTGGTTTCCCTTTAACATCATACAAACAAGGGGGTATGCCCAAACAAAAACGCACACAAGTGAACCTTAAGTTGCACACTGATTCTAACAAGAGATCCGTGTCGGAGCCTGCAGCATCTGCGCCAGCAGCCCTGAACAAAGGCCGATGGGTATTTTGGGCTGTCCCAGGGGGGGGGGGGGCCCGGGCTTGGTGGGGTGGGTGGGGATGGGTGGGGTGTGGGGGGAGTGGGGTGCGGTGGGGATGGGTGGGGTGTGGGGGGAGTGGGGTGCGATGGGGATGGGTGGGGTGTGGGGGGAGTGGGGTGTGGGTGGAGGGCAAGGTTGGGCAAGGGGAAACAAGAAACCAACCACCTGTCACGTACTGTACTTGGGCCCCACTTGCTTGCCAAACGCCCAGTTCAAGCCGCGAGCGGGACCAACCTTCCGCCTGCAAGAGGAAGGGCATTAATAAGTATCACACAAAAGGTAAAAGCAAACTCCTTGCTGAAAGGCAAATACTCATGACCAAGGTGTTGTCTAAAGTGGGTACACTATATTTTGCCTCGGCAATTTTACCTGGCAGTGTGCACGCGGGCCCACACTGCTAGCATTGACAACGCCCACAGTGCCTTGTTTCTGCCAACATGCTGCATAAGGCATGTAAGAGCTCATGATTGTCACCGTGCCACGCTCCTTTTAGCGAAGTAGGATGTTTCAGGCTGCCCATGTGTTCGTTCAAAAAACCCGCAAAGCCAACACATCAAAGAGACGGAGAAGGGCATCGGAAAAAAACAAACAAGTACATAATGTACATATATATATATATATATATATATATATATATATTATACACATACTTGGCTGCGTGCGTGCGTGCGTGCGTGCGTGCGTGCGTGCGTGCGTGCGTGCGTGCGTGCGTGCGTGCGTGCGTGCGTGCGTGTGCGTGTGCGTGCGTGCGTGCGTGCGTGCGTGCGTGCGTGCGTGCGTGCGTGTGTGTGTGTGTGTTTTTTAAGGGAACGCCACCCCCCAGAAAATAAATGGTGGTTTCATGTTGGTTTCCCCTCCACACCACCAAAACTCTTCTGTTTCCCAGTGGATCCCAGTTTCCAGCTAAGTTCCTGGGATTTAGATGGCTCAAATTGTTACTATGCAGGCAGATGGATCATAATGGATCCAGTGGATTTGGTAGTTGATGTTAGTTCGGAGCCCCGTCCACAGGAAACAGGAGAAGGACAAAAACTCACTGGAGCATCTGAACTGGTTCTTCATTGAAATCGCTTTCTATGGAGGTTCCCTTTGAAGGGACATGGCTCGGACACCATGATTGAACTTCCCAGAAGCAACGTCAAAGCATGATTAGAGTTAGGCCCAGTTATAGAATGTATACTTTATTGTTTGCTTCACATGGAGTGACTGGTAAAATGTAAAATGTATCCTAAGTCTACCCCAGAAAGTGTGTAAGCTAGTTGGGTGTATTTGTTTTTGCTTTTGGTGAGGCCACCTCAGGGGCACTAAAGTGATTTCCCTCCGAGTCGAAGAGGATGATATCTAATGGCAAAAAAAAAGATGTCCACAGTCCGGCAAAAGGTAAGTCCTGCAGTCAAGCGCACACATCTCGGGAAACAGAATTAAACAAAACAAAATACTAAACAATAATAACAATATCAATAATAATAATAATACTACTAATAATAATAATAGTATTAATAATAATTAATACAGATAATAAAACGCAACAAAGTACCCTCCTGTCCACTGAAAGAAGACCGTTTGTCTTCAAACGGGACCCCGAGGTGGGGTTCCAATGTGGACAGGGTAAATTGGAGGGTCTCCTTGGTCCCTTCATGCTAGGATTGGGGCCCCGGATCCCATCTTCACATCTAGGGCTCCTGCCACGCATCCTTCACCATGGGAAGCTGATGACCTCAGCTGATGCTTTTTGGCCCAGCGGAACTTGCACACGTAAGGGGCCCTGGGGTTCAATCCAGGTTCATGTTTCACCACCATTAACTGTTCAGGATTGTCGTCACTGGGTCCCCTTGGGCCATTCTTTCAATGGGAATCGGTTAAACGTTCGGGGGAAGCAAATTGTCTTGCAAACAGGAAGATGTAACCCGTGGTGCTTTAAGTGTCCTTTGATTCTGCATGGATGCAACACATCGCAACCTAGCAGAAAGGACCCCATATAGAGTAGCCCTTTTCAGTATCACTTCTTAGTGGGGTGCAACCATGGTAGGGCTGCTTTTGAGAAAGAACCTGGGTTGCTCCCTTCAGCCCCAGCAAAAAGGTGCATGAACGTGCTGATAGGTATGGAGAGGCCATTTGCCATTTGGGGCGATTGGGCACCAAAGGCCTACTCGCGGGCTTGTGGAGGTCCGTGCAAGTGAACAAGTGAAAGGATCAGTGCAAGCGGCTTCGCAATCCAAAGTCAGAAGTATGAACCAGCTAGGTCCTCCTGTAGAGAGGTTAGAATAAGGGTACCACCTTTTTCACACGTCTATTTTAGTAGGGGAACCCTCCCAACCAAAAAAGGGGTGAGAAAGGGCATCTAGCTGGGGGACCTAGACAGGCTAGAAACCCGCTTTGCCGGAAGTTTCACGAGGGTCTTGCGGCATGAGCTTGGTTCACCTGCCGAAGAAATCCAGCGAAAACGCCGAGTGGCCCGGGCACTGTGCGCTGAGTGGCGCATGCAGCTCCGCAAAAAAGGAGATATGGATCTGGTTCAAAACCAATGGTACCATTTTGGGACAGGTGCACCATCCAGTTTGGTCTATTTTAGTGGGGATTGGTTGATGTTCACTGGGGGTATTGGGTTTTGACCCATGGTGATGTGGATACGATGTTCAATTCTGGAATCTCCTCCGCAAAGCTAGTGACCAAGACCAAATGTAGGCGTTTCCCACTGAGAAGGAACCGAAGGACCCTTTGGCGGGCATCATTTATATGTTTGTATCTAATAGCGATCTTTGATCTTTTGTGTGGGTCTTTCACATGTACAAAATCAGAGTAGCCAGTTTGCATCATTTCGTACGTAACGAATGGGTTCGAGCGCAATTGGGGCAAACCCTAACAAGGATGATTCATGTGTCTGAAAAGATGGGCTGTCCCCAGGGTTCTGGATATTAGAGGCTTGTATCAAAGTGAACTGGACAATTATTGGTCAACGTTCCATCCTAATCATGCGCTTTATATGTTCCTTTGTGTTCATCATTATTTGTCAAGAGCCAAGATGTAAAACAGTCCCAAATACCGTCCCTGAATTTATCTGCGAAACTTGTTTCCTTGTCGCTTGCTCTTGTTGCTCTCAAATCCAAGCTTTCCATTTCTGAATGGCTTTCGGAAAGCGCGTGCGTTTCGCTTGTCTGTCTTGCGCATGTGCACGTCATGTGTGTGTGTGTGTGTGTGCGTGTTTTGCCTGTCATCCTTGAGAAATAAGGGCCCTTGTGCTTGCCAAAATGCCAATGCTGGAGCCAATGACGCCGCGTCAGAACTGAGGTCAGAATCGCTTTGCAGTATGGGGAGTGGTGATTCAGGGATCTGTCAAAAGCAAACCAAAGGCTTGAGAAGAAAACCGAAAAAGCGACATGATATCAGCAATCCAAGCAGGAATTGCCAGATCTTATATGGAGCACGCTCTGCGTTGCTTGGTTGCTTGGTTGCTTGGTTGCTGGCTTGCTTGGTTGCTGGGTTGCTTGGTTGCTGGGTTGCTTGCTTGCCTGCCTGCCTGCTGGGCTTTTCCTGTGTTGAAGCGGAGGTTGGACCAATTGAAAGAGTAAACCGACAGAAGCCCAATCAAGAGCAAACAATAGATTTCGACACTCACATATATTGAGATGTGTTTGTCTCTGTCTATATAGACATATGCGTACATGTGTACATATATATATATATATAAATGTTGATGTGTCCACAAATATGCATGTAGTACAATATATACATATCTCTGTTGCATTTCGACCTGCGCATCCATACTTCCCGTCACAAGATCAATGGCCCATCACTGATCAGGTTGGCAATTATTTCAATGGTGGCTTGCCTCAGCAAATAAGCTCTGGGTTGGTTTAGGGCAGCTTCCGGGGAGGGTTCCAAAGATTCGGGTCCAAAAGGGTTCGGGGGCTGTTAGGCATACCTGGGCTTCTTGTGCAGCGGAGCTGCAAACTGCGAGTTGGGTGTTTCTCAAAACAAGAGCCCTCATGATTGCATGGTTTTCAGGGGAAACCAAAAGGAAACCAACCATCTATCTAGGGGTTGATTCCCCATTCTTTCCAACCATCGTTGTTCTCAAAAACCGCTATGTTCCCCTTGTTTTTGGAGGTTTTCTGGAATGATTCGGATCCCTGGAAAGAATGGAAATGGAAGGTACCCCTAGAATCTCAAGGGGCGCTTTTGAGGAGCTGGCAAAAAGTTAAAGTCCTAACATCCAAGCAACATGCACCAAAGTAAAGGGGTGCCTGCTTTTGAGAAGAGCCCTCAGCCCTCATCTCCTTTTCCCGCGCGGCGCGCTAAATCGCGGTCACAAGGATGACAGCTTGCGCTTTGCCAGCTTCTTCGCGGGCTCAGCCGAGAGGGTGGCCTGCAGGCTGAAACTTCGATTCGAATCTGTGGGTCAGTTGTAGAATCGCCACTCAGGAAATTAGCAGCCAAACAAATGGTGTTCCTTGTTCGACTCAGCAGCCAACCCTCAAAGGACCGGGAGTCGCCTTCTGACCCTGGAAAAATGGTTGGTCATTACCCCAAACGTTGGGGTCATTGAACCATTTTTAAAGGGTCATGGAGACTCCAGGTAGGTACCTTAGTGGGGCGGGTTGTTAAGACTCCGATTCAGGTTCCTTAGGGTTCCTAGGCTAGCTTAGGGTGCCTTAGGGACACCCCCCTATTCCATAAGTCATGGTTGCCTCAGTGGGCACGTCTGAAAAGTAGAGGGCCCCCAACCCACTTCCGATCAAGTGGGTTGGCCAGGATAAAGTCCAACTCAGAGAGTAAGTTTAGTGTCGCCTTGTCTGGCTTCCCTCGGAAACCAACAAGAACCCAAAGGTGCCAAGATACTCGGGGGCGTTCTCGTCTTATCGATGGTTTGTACCCCCAAACCCCAAACACCGCTCCTTCCCTTGCGTGATTGATTTGATTTGGTTTGAGCTGCTTGAGCTTGCTTCCGCTCAAGTGCGTGGAACCATAGGCATCGTCCCTCGGTCTGCCACGTCAATCCCAAATGCATAGCAAATCGGGTAATTCATACATAGAAAATCTTTGTACATCACCCTACCAGCAAACAGCCAAAGTAAGAGAATCCCTTTCCAGTGGTAGAGCCTGGCGTTCAGATGACCAAACCTCATTATAGACTTCCGGTCGGTGAGCAAGCTACTTGGGCGTTCGGCCAAGTCAGCAAGTGGTTAACCCATCTAACAACAAGCTTAACTCCATTTCGGGGATGCTACACGCGGGTTATGATCTGGGTTACGATCACAACTTACGAACTCCGAGCACCCAAGTAGTGACTCCTGCCTCTAAGAACGCGTCGATGCGACGCCACATGTTCTCTGTCATCCGGTGAGGCACTCCCTGGCAGCCGGCAGCGGGATAGGGGGTCCTTGTTTCGAGGGGCCCCGTTTTCGTTTGCTTCGAGGGGACCCGTTTTTGGTGGTTTCAAAGGAATGTCCAAAAGGAAAAACAACATTTAGTCGGTGGCGTCGGAAAAAAAAAAAAAAACAAAAAAACAACACAACACAACACAACACAACACAACACAACACAACACACAACACACAACACACAACACACAACACACAACACACAACACACAACACACACACACGCACCCACACACACACACACGCGCACACACACAAATCACCCGAATGAACACCAGAACCACGTGAGCTCGCAAAAGGAAGCCATCAAAAAAGAAACCACCAACACGGAACCCCCGAAGAAGGCAAGCAAACAACGCAAACACTTGGTTGACGTTGGAAGGTTAGCAGCTAAGTGGGGATTTCCCACTAAACCACAATAATCAAAAATGAAAAATGTGTCCCAACAACAACCATGAAAATATCTTCAGGCCCCCCAAGTAGGAAACATGAGGTGCGCTTTCCGCGCTCGCCGAGAGTGGCAAGTTGCGGAGATCAACCAACAAAACGACCGACTGATTGACTAGCCAAGCCCAGCCCAGCCAAAGCAACTAGCCAAAAAACACGGTGGATCCGCTACTATTGCAAGTAAGCCAACCACACGCAACTGCAATCCATGGAGAATTCCGGTAAATAACAGGACCTTTTTCTTGATCCCTTAAAGCCTTACTTGCAATATTGAATTGGCATCGCACTTGGATGTTCGATTCGGCAAGATAAGTGGGAAAGGCCACCAGGGCTATAACTAGAACCCAGTAATAACAAGGTCAAGGTCAACTCCGCTGAGGGGGCTTGCAAGCGGGTTGCAAGCTATGCTAACAACTTGCTAACTTGGAACGCCCAAACACAAGCTAACCCGCTCGTTTCCTAAGTGGATTGGTCAGAACAACTCTGGGCTTGTGACGTGCTTGTGGTTTACCACTTTGCCCAGAGGACTCATAAGTACAACGTTAATGAATCAACATGGTAAAAGCAAAAGGTCAAAAAGGTCGGGTTTGGATAAGTAAAACTTACCCAACCCCATGTTTCAAGGGTCAGACTCCAGGTAGGTCTAAACCCCGTGTGTGATCCCCCCCAATCCTGGTCCACACTGGATATGTCGTGTGCCCATGCCTCTTCAATGAAGACATCCATGTGGTTCTTCGCCTCGTGTCTGTCATATGCCTGCGATGCGACATCGCGATATCGGCCCTGCGGCCAGCGGGCGCGGGCGAGTCAAAAAAAAATCCCAGGACGGTGCGGGTTCCGCGTTTTTTTGTTAGAAGACACTTCATGGCGCTTTCCTGAACAAGCATCATACATCTAGGACCTAGATTTATGGATAATCTAGGTGGGATCCATTTGCCCTCATGGGTTCAGGGATCATTCTTTTCAAACATAACCAAACACACATGGAATCCCAATGGTGTCTCAAAAGAACACCGAGAAAGTGGACTGACACTATGTGTGTTGCTTAAAATATGCACGCCCCTTTTTACCGGGAACCACACGGAACAAATCAAACAACTGAAAGGGTACCGCCTCAAACCTAAAAAACAAAACACGACCCACTTGGCTGTGGGTCAAAATATGTACCCAAAATGGAACCCTGGTAATTGGAAAACCTGCGGTCTACATCCTGGTGGCTTAGTTTTGACCCATACCCACTTGTCCAAAGTTTGTCCGAAGGAGCTAAAACTAGGTCTTCCAGTAGAGAGGGTAGAATAAAGGTACCCTTTTCCAGTAGTCTATTTTAGTAGGGGAACCCTCCCCCCAAAAAAGACTTGGTAAAAGGGCACCTGGCTGGGGGACCAAATGAAGAGGTTCACCTTCTGCACCCATCGGATCGCTGGAGCTCCGAAAGATCAAGGCACTGCATGTCGCTCCGCCCGGGAGCAATTTGGTCGAGTCTGTGCCGACGGTTTGTGTTTTTTGGGCTTTCAGAACGGGTTGTTCTTGAGGGCTCTTGAGGAATTGGTCGGGATGCATTGCAGGGCCCGGGCAAATTGACGGAGGAAAACAATGCCCTCAAATAGCCTGCAGCCTTTTGCTGCCCGTGCTTGGGCCCTAGTATAACTGTTCGCCCGAAAAGTGTAAACAACATAGAACATCATTAGCTTGGTGGCTATATTGCTCTTCCCCCCGCGCAACAAAAAACAACTTGGCGTGGGTGAGTGGACGAATCCACTCCCAAAAGAGTCAAAGGTCAAGATCCAACCGCGATCTCCAAGTTGCCGTGTGTTACCTGGAGTCTCCTTCTGACCCTTCAAAAATGGGTTGATGACCCCATTATTTGGGGTAATGACCCCATGTTTTTTTGTTTTTCCGATTTTTTAAGGGTCATGGAGACTCCAGCTACTCCGCTTGCGTCCTTGGACTTTCTAGGAACCCGCTGGGTCCGCTTTGATCAATCACAGCTGTCTCGAGAATGGCTTTGTCATCAAGGGGAAACGGCTTGCGAACAGGGGATAAACAATTAGATTGGGTTGTGGGGTACTTTGAGATCACATAGAAAAATAAGGTTAGTACCTGCCCCCACCAATGGATTCTGTCAAACGGGCACTGAAAGTTACAACCCGCTTAAAAAGTCCCCCGTTCAGGGGATTTAACCTGGTGATTGGTGAGTTATGACCCGGGCGGCTAGCCACTTCCTACCTTGGCAACGAACATGCAAGCACCGAGCCTGGCAAAAACCAAGGCGAACGGCCACATTTGCGGTGGATCCCGGCCTGTTAGTGTGTGTGTGTCTGAAATTTTGGGGACGCCCCAAACTGGCGGGCCTTCTTTTCTTGGTTTCCCTTTAAACCCACAAAAACCGAGGGGCGCCATCACAGAAAGACCCACCAAAGACTGGGTTGTGGGACTAGAGGCGTGGAGGGTTCAAGTTGGCTTACCCTCCGCCTCTTGGGCCTTCGCGATGCATTGTCGGAGCCCGGGCAGCGGGCAACGCGGGTCCTCGCTCCGACTCGACCCATTTTCGGTTGGTCGCCGCGTGTTGGTCTGGGTTTCCTTTTGAACCCAGCCCAAAACGTGTACCATCCAAAAAAACACACACCCAGTTCTTGTTCTTTTTCTCTCGCAGATGGCACAACCTACAACCTCCCTATTGTTGTATGAATTTCAATGGGGAAACCCGGCCTCACAGGTGGTTGGTGGACATGAACACCCAACTAAATGATGTCCACCAAAGGGCCCCTAATTCAGATACATGCCCATTTCGATTTGATCATCTTGACTTCCAGACAGAGTGCTATGTCCTCAAATGGTTTTTTTCTTGGGTGCCAAAAGCTTGGCAAAGCACCTTTCTAGCAGGAAGCGATCATGTCAACCCTATGAAGGGGAAACTACTGGCCGGCCTTTTGGAAAACAAACGGCCCTGGTAAATCAATGGGTGGAAGATTTTGTCCACCAGCGCCTGCATGGGGGTGAGCCCCCCCCGAGGCCCCGTCCTTCTCGCCACTGAGCACCAGCAAATGTCGAGGCGCGATGAGGGGCAAGGTGAGAGGCCTTGGGATAGAACATCCGCCGGAACAAGTGAGTCACAATCAAAACCCATCGGTGTTCCACAAGAAGAACAAAGGCAAAAAAAAGAAACGGATTTCCGCAACTCTTGGGACTGTCCCTAACCTTCACTTACCCCGTGCTTTGAGCGTGACGGGTCCCTTGGCACGGGGTCAAATCCTCCAGGCCCCCAGGCGCCCAGGCCCGGGTCGTTGGAGTTTTCGTTCGTTTTGTGCTCCGGCGCCCCTCTTTTTGTTTGGTTTTAACGGGAAACCAAAAGGAAAACCGCCAACATTTTGGGGGATCTAAGATTCAGATGGTGTTCTCCGAAAATCTTGGGAAAGGACGGGACAGTTTCCCCCAGTCTCAAAAGCCGCCGGCGAGACACAGCTGGGTTGCTGCTGACTTTAGCTTTCTGTGCCTTCAATGGAAAAAAAAGACCCTTGATGTCCCAAAAAACATCAAAGTTTGAAGAAGATCCAACCCACTAGCAATCTGGTGAAACCCAAAACCATGATCAAGAGTTACCAAGGCGGATATCCGCACCCATTCATGGCAACTAACCTATCCCTAACTTTCACCTACCCGAATCGGTTTTGAGGATGTGGGGAAACCCAAATCATTTCCCACGAATACAATTCAAGCCTAAAGATCGAATCCAAATAGCCATACCTGGAGTCTCCATGACCCTTCAAAAATGGGTCAATGACCCCAACATGTTAGGTAAAGACCCCATTTTTCAGGGGTCATGGAGACTCCAGGTAAAGCTCTTGGCGTCCTTTTGGCGTCCAATTCCTTAGGGCTCCGAAGGCCGAGCGGCATGTCAAACGCCGCCTCTTTGGACTCGTCTGCCTGAGCAAGGGACAAGGCAACGGGGAAACACTGACTCACGGGATCCAGCCTGAGCCTCGAACTGCCCTCGCACATGGGACATCACTCTAGAAACTCGGGGCAATATCTCATTAAGGGTACCTGGAGTCTCCATGACCCTTGAAAAATGGTTGGTCATTACCCAAAATTTGGGGGTTATGGACACATGTTTCAAGGGTCAGAAGGAGACACCAGTTTGAGGGTCCAACATTTTGCTGTCCCATGGCAGGTCGAAAGGATGTTGGCGAAACAGTGACAAGTCATGCAGATACCCTGGATTGCCTGGCAATACAGATCCAGAGGTCTCACTGTTTTGAAGAATACCCCCGTTTTTGTTCGTGGCTTTGGCTTGGGAAACCAGCACTAGGTCCTCCAGTAGAGAGGTTAGAATAAGGGTTGCCTTTTTTCTGTATTCTATTTTAGTAGGGGAACCCTCCCAACCAAAAAAGATTTGGTAAAAGGGCACCTAGCTGGGGAACCTAGAGCAGGAAAACCCAAAAGACTCGCCCATAGCAAAAGGAGCCTGTGAAGCCGGGAAAAACAAAACCAGACGGCCAGTGACAAATCACCGCGACAAATCAGGCCAGGACACAATGCTCAGCTCTGAATCAGTGAAAGCAAATCCAGGTGTGTTATCACCCACAAAAGCCATGGTTATTTTTGTCTCCGTTCAGTGGAACCGTTCTCTCACCAGGTTTACTAACCACTTACCTGACGTACCGAATCGATCGCTGGGGGATGGCCTTCGGGAGCCACCAAGAAGCCATGGGATTGTCGGGTCTCGGACCGACTCGTGGACTTTGTAGTCTATTTCAGTAGGGGAACCCTCCCCAAAAAAGATTTGGTAAAAGGGCATCTAGCTGGGGGACCTAGTAAAACATGTTGAAGCAAATGGAAGCCAGACAACTCACTTCCCAAGTTGACTGGCCAAAAAAAGTTTGAACTTTTCATTTACCACTAAAATGGTCTTTCCAAAAAGTATCAAGTTCATGAACTCAGGAAGTGAGACAATGGGATTGTCCGGTCTCGGACTGCCTCACGGACCAATTTCTCCTGCCTCGGCGAGGCCCGGCGCGATCTGCGCCCAAACCGCACGGACCACCTCCTGGAAACCCGGCCATCTGCTCGGAACACTGTTCTGGGCCCCCGGATCCCCCGCTAAAAGTCTAACTTTTAGTGGCTTAAGATAAAAACTACCACTAAGCACTAAAAGGCGAAGAAGCTAAGGAACCGGATGGCTGGGAGCTAAGTTTTGGAGTGGATGGCCCAAAGAAAGCCCAGTGGATCCCAGTTACCCTTAGGTTCAGTGGATCAGGGATGATCAGGGTTGAGGGAAATGGAATCCACGAATCTGTGATACAAAGAAGGCTGAAGACTAAGCCACCCCATAGGGGGGGAGATTCCACAAAGTATCACAGAAGTGGTTGGATAAACCCCGAGTCATCCCACAACTCTGGATTGGATGGCCCAAATGAAGTCCAAACTCTTCCCAGTGGATCCCAGTTGCCCGCATAGTAGGTAACCAGCGATTCTCCTCCTGATGTTTTCAACGGGTGGTTCCCTTGGTTGCCTACTAGACAGGTAATGAATCTGGTGGGTTTTTTGTTTGCCACTGAGAGAGTCCCAACCCAAAAGGTGACTAAAGTCTAGAGACTCGCGTGAATCTCAGAAAAACGTCCCCACAGACCCAGCCCTGCCGGGGGGTTTCTTGCATGGGCGTTCCGCTGACTTAGCAAGTTGTTGGCAACCTGCACTTGTAGGTTGTAAGTGGACTTCACGCTATTAGCGGGTTCTGACCCAGATGGGTACAGGGTTTGAGGGTCCGGGTACACTGACTGCCATAGAACAGGCTCCAAGGCTCCTGGTCGATCTCTGCCTTCCCCAGATCCTTGGCCGCCGCCTCAAACACCGGGCGCACGGAGTCTACCCGCGCCTCCGAGCCGAGGCGCTTCGTTCGCGGAATGCTCGGATTTTCGACCCTGGTGGTTCAATGTCATTACCCCCGTGGTTCTGCCTGCCCAGTGGGGACAAAGCAAAGACAAGACAAGTACTCCTGGATACCACTAGACATGCTCAGGATTTGAGTTTAACCTCTAGGTTTCACAACATGTGTCCCCCACCCAGTTGAATAGTAACTGCAGGCACTGGGTACACTGTTGGACGAGACAGGTACGGGGAATAGGGCCACAAGACACCCAGAATTGGAATGTCACCCATCAGTTTGGGGCAATCTCGGATTTTAAAACGTAGTTTGAGGGTACACGGAAAATAAGAACATTGAGGCTGTTTCTGTGCTTCGTCTACCGTATAGGCCAATTTTATGACAAAATTCCCGCCAGGCACGCCAGGAATGATCTGGCGTAAACCAAACACCAACTGAGGGCGTGGATTTGCCCATCAGTATGGCCCCTTGGGCCCCCTTGGGCGCCGCCGTTGAAAGGGGCGGGGGCACCCACAAGGTCCAAGTTGGATCCCCATGCGTCCCCCCAAATTCCTAAACGGTTAGTACGCCTGGTGGAGACTTACCATGGCTGTTGTGGGTTATCTCACTATGGCTATTACCCACTTACAAAGCACTCTGCCACTTGAAGCGCCATATTAGGGTTCGATGGATGACCCACTAAAGCCAAAGGAACCGGCGCTTCGCTGGAAACCGCCACGATGTCATTGCATCTTGATAACAAGGTCCATTTACCAGTGCCAGTATAGCTCACCAAGGGCTTGCGACCTTTTAACCAAAAAAAGAATAGAAACGGGTTGCCTACTATATGGGTGGGATCCACTCGGAAAGGGACCACCACAGACTTTGATGGTTCGCCTCTTCAGAGACAAGCCCATGTATATGAGGATGGGGCGGTTTGTACATCCCCTGCAAACAAACATATATGTCCAGTAGTGAAATCGATTCCCTTAAACGCCAACAGCGAAAAACAATAAGCATAATCTTGCTGAGGAAAAAATATATATATAAAGTTCTACGTCGTGCGGCTTTCTGATTGTTCTATCGAAATATATATATATAAAAAAAAAAAAAACAAATACCCCCCAAAAACAGAAACAAAATAAGAAGAAACAAACGCCGCGCCTGCCAAAGGTCATTGACCAGCGAGTGGTGAAAGCTCTGCACGCCGATGGCCGGCATGGCCGAGCGGATTCGCACCTCGCTTTTCCATCTGGGAGAAACTTCCACTCAGACCTACTCCAAGTACCTGGAGGCTCCATGACGCTTGAAAAATGGGTCCATGACCCCAACATTTTGGGGTCATTGACCCATTTTTTAAAGGGTTATGGAGGCTCCAGGTACGAAAGACCCGATTTGCTCAACCTGGAGTCTCCATCTGACCCTTTAAAAATGAGTCCATGACTCCAGTGGGTCAGAAGAAGACTCCAGGTACTCAGCCCTACTCCAAATACCCGATTTGTCAAGGGTTTTTTGGGGAAAACCTGTTTTTTTTCACGGTACATGCCCCCTGTTTTAGTAAAGGATCGACATCATAGCCTGAAAAAGGCGGGTATTCTTGAGTATATAGGGGGTAACCTTCCTCCCACTAACATGGCACTTGAGTAATAATCACAAAAGCTTTCTGCAAAAAGAGATTCATCTTCCAGGAACCCTCCCAAAGGTGCCTTGTGTTAGTGGAAAGGGTAACGTGTGTTTCAAAACCAATACCTGGTGCGGAAATTTGTCCAGCCAGGTTTTCCAGGAAGGGGTCTTCGTCGTGAGAAGCCTGTCCTCCTTGTTTTCGGTGAGCTCGTTATGCTTTGCCGCGGATAATTCCTTCAAAGTTCATCTGCTGGCGGGATAATTGTTCATACCCCCGTAAAGTAAACAAGGAACCTGAAAGGGAGCCCTCCTGAAAAGTCACGTTTCCTGGGTCACAAGGTCAACTCCACCAGGGAGACTTATACGCGGGTCTTAGCTCGGGTTACTAACGGCTTGCTAACCTTGGCCAAACACCCAAGCAGAAAGGTGTTGTTTGGGGTTCCACGTTCATCTGCAGGAGAGTTCGCCTTGCGGTAGTCCAAACTAGTCACCTACACCTGAACCCACGGCGGCCAACGCCCCATGCAAGTAGAACCCACAAAGTCAGGTCGCGAAGACACAGCAGTTTGTAACTTCAAAAGGGAGTCACTTCATCTCTACTCTTGGTATGGTAGCAACAAACTTTGTTTTTTGCCGACCCCCAGTAAAAATGAACAGAACCAACAAAAAAACAAAACATGATCCAAGAACAGTGGCCAGCCTTGGTTCACAGGGGCCAGCCTTGGACCCAGAAAGTGGGGCCCCAGCTTATATGGAGCGAACATTGGCTGAATATATGGCTCCCCTGGAAACCCCTGGTGAACATCAAAATAGGTGGTACATGGTGTTCATCTGCCCCAAAATGGAGCTGTAGGGTATGACCCATGGCCATATGGCTTCACGAAATCATCTTCCCAAAAGGTAAAAGGGCACCACTGGGCAACCTTTCTAACCCACTTTCCCACAGTCTACGGGCCAAGGCACGTCCGCGGCCGCCAAAAGCGCCACTGCCATGCCGCCCAAGGACACGCCCGCCACACCCAGGCGCTCTGACAGCCTGAGATGATCAGAGAGGAAGGCGTCGATTGGTGCAAGTAAGGCTGTGCCCCGATGTTTGAATCACTTCACAACCCTTCATATGGTTGCAAGAAACACGGAACAATGCAGCTCTCCCGATTAAAATGGAACCGGTCGTTTTGGGGTCCTGGTTTGGGCGAGATCTTTCTTTATTGAAAGGGACCATTCACCTGGTTCCATGCTTCCATTTGGCTAAGATCGGTGGAAAACAAATAAAATATGTCCAGTAGTGATAAAAACCTTCTGAAACCAACAAGGGAAAATATATAATATTCTTAAGCAAATGGAAGTTGAGTCGCTTCACAACCCTTAGTACTGTGGATGGACGAAATCTGTTTCGCACCACTTTGAAACCATGGGAAACCATTGTTGGTTGGTATTTACAGGGGAATCATGAGTCCATGGTTTCTTGCGTGGTGCAGGATTTCGTCCATCCACAGTATGTTTTCAAAACACATTGTTTTTTGCAGCCCCCTACTAACAATGAACAGAACCCCAAAGACAAAAAAACCTACCATCAACAGTAAAGATCAAACTAGTCGGTCCTTCCCATGTACAAGCTGATCTGTTCTGAACCCAAGTGGACAGGCCTTAACCACGAGCAGTTTGAAGGAGGAATGTCCAACATGGGATTGTGGTGTTGTTGTGTTCCTTGGACCATTTTGGTGGATGTTAAAAACCCTGGACATGCCAATGGAAGAGTCGTCTAGGGATAGCACCTCGATACCGAAATGGACCGGCATGGACCGGCTTCAAGCAACCATTCATCCCAAACATCCCGGGCATTACACATCCCCTCCCGGAAGGAATGGCCGCGAAGTGAGAGGGACCAGTATCCGAAACTTAAAAAGGGGGCAGACCCACATGTTGCAAGGAAAAAACACAAATGCAACTGCAACGAAGTTGCCTTCTGACTTCTGACTCAGCGATGCAAAAAACAAGAGGCTTAACGCTGCCCTCCCGCCGACCAAAAGGGAAAGCCACCAGAGGGTTCGAATCAAGAGGAAAACGTCTTCCGGGACTTCCAGCATGACACACCCCTTCCAGCACCACCCGCCCCGTCCTCCCTGTCTTCCCCATAGGTACCGTCCAAAATGCATCATCTACCGGGGGAATTTCTTACCACTTCAAAGGAGATGCACTTGGCTGTGGGTCAAAAGCAGGTACCAGAAATGCACCGCTGCGGTTTTCCATGGTTTTCCCCAATCGCTGAAAGCTTTGGGGTCGCCCAGATAGGCTCCGGGGTCTGGGACGGCTCTGCAAGGTTCCTCTCAGTTCTGCGAGCGTTGTGAGGTACAGATTGGGCGACTCTAAATGGTTCTAAGAGTCGGTCCTTTGATGCTATAGCCATTGCGCTTTGGCGAAAGCTGGATCGGTCCTAAAGTCCAAGGATTTTTCCACATTTGGGTGTTCGGGGCAGTTAGCAAGTGATTAAGCACCTGGCCCTGTGTTACACTACCGCGGTTAGCTCCACTTAGGAAGACCTACTTTGCAGGTTATAGCTTCAGCTACCCTCCAGAATCACAACTTACTAACTTGGCCACGAACATCCAAGTACAAGACCCAAAAGGGATTCGAATCCATGGATGCCGACTCCATTTCCAGTTTTGGTTTGGTCTGTTCGCTCAGACCATTTTGCAAAATCGGCTGAGCAGCACGTCGGGGCGCACCGACAGATAGTCCACGACCAGCAGCGCATCCCGAGCCTGGGAAGAATCGAAGGTGAACCCTCCCAGTGGATCCTAGGCAAGCCCCTTATATTGCTTCCATTTGCCTAAGCCTAATCGAAACACCATACTTCCAGTAGTGACAGATTCTCACTACATCCAAGATGGGAACCTAAAAAGTAGCCTGAAGCAAATGGCCATGAAATGTGACTCCTCTGCAGAGAAAAAAAACAAACAAAAAAAAACATCGGTGATACAGAAATGGGTATGGGTCAAAATTTCACCACCTGACCGCAGGATTTAGTCCGTGCTTCTACCTACCCGGGCTCCATTTTGTGTACTTATTTCTGACCTACAGACACATAACCTTTTGGTAGTCACTCGCTTTGGCGTTCCATGCCGCAAACTTGTTGAGCCCCATTCCCTGCCACGTATTTCTGTTTGCTTCTCGAAGACTGTAACCTTGTCAGTGGGTAGGTGGCTAAGCACTTACTAACTTGGCAGCAAACATCCAAGTGGGAAACCAAAAGGACACCTACCATTTTGGTGTCCACCTGTTGGGTGGTTAAATATCCAGGAGAATCAGGACACCCAAGGAGTCTTTGATTTTGCGAGCGGGAGCCAGCAAAACTCGTCAAGCAAACCTTGGTCAGCCCACAATCATATCAGTGATTCCTCTATTTGCTCAAAACACCTTTCCAGTGATAGATGTCCTTTAAAACCAACAGTCGCAATGATTCTGGTCCAGGACGTGCTTTGGGCTCGGGTGCGGTTTCTTCCGCTGCTTCCCCAAAAACGCACCTAGACCTGTGCACACTAATGGGAACACGCTTGATGAACAAATCTATGGATAGAACATCGTATCTGTGATTCCTCCATTTGCTCCGAATACAAAAAACGCCTTTCCAGTGATAGATGCATTCTGGTCCACAGAACAGGGGACAAGCATGAAACTTCCTGTCCGCTGCTCCTTTTAGACCCAGACTTCCGAATGGACGGTTCGCCTTTCAGGACCTCACATGGACCAAACGCCGAACGGCGAACCCAGCGACTCCATTTCCCGAGTTTTCAGGGTAAAGCACTGGCCAAAAAAAAGAAGTAACCAAACACATTACTCATATATATATATATATATATACCGCTAAAAGGTCTTCGCAAAAAGAGGCTAAAGTCCAGTAACTCGGAAAGTGACAAATTGAAGGGAAACACTCTTCGGGGACCTCATTTTGTTTTAGTTCCTTTACAACCACCGAAAAAGGGGTACCCTCAGAAAAGGCACACCCGGCTGCACGAAAGTCAGCTTCAAAAGAGATGACAAAGGAAACCAACAAACAAACCCACATGGCCGTGGCTCAAAAAACCGGAATTCCAAAATGGCCACCTTGGCAAGTGGACACATGGACCAACACCCGCGTAACCCCTAGCTTTTTAATTTTGAGCCACAGCCACATGTGCGGGATCAATACCATCACCAAATCCAAATGCCCGTGACCCAATCGTTGCTTTTCAAGCGCCGACCCAAAGGAACCCAAGCACTGGCTCAATTCCAAGCATCATGTCCGATCGAGACGGGCCGAACAAAGCAACCAAACTTATTGTATGACACCAAAAAGGCCTCCCAAACCCAAAACGTGACTAAAGTCCATGAACTCAGGAAGTGAGATGAAAAACAACTTGTTCCCACCTGTCCCTGAAACGCTCCCCAAGAAGAAACAAAAAGGCCCCGCCCGCCCCCCCCCCCCAAAAAAAAAAGAACAACAACTCCCGGAGGAAAAAAAACATCGAACCAAAAAAACAACAAAACGTCAGCTCCCGTCCGTCAAAGAGGCGATGTCCATCACATAGCGCTCGCTGCCATCCCGCCAACCCCGGGTGAGGTTGTCGTAGTAGATCTGCAGCCTGGCATAAAAAAAGGCCGGGTGAAAAAAACACTTCCATTTGGTTGAGACCCCTGGAAAAAAACAAAAAACAAAAAACAAAACAGTACCTGGAGTCTCCATGACCCTTGAAAATGAGGTCATTACACAAAATGTTGGGGTCATTGACCCATTTTTAAAGGGTCATGGGGACTCCAGGTAGTGATAAATTCCTTTTGCAACCAACAAGGGAAAATAACAAAACATATTCTAAAGCAAATGGAAGAAAACAGGCGGGGTCAAAGGGGGTAATGTTGACCCCATATTCGCGAAAGCCCCAGTTTGTTAATGCGGGGGGTGGGGGCTGCAAAAGTGACGATTCCCGACTAAACCCAGGCACACACCCCTATTCATAAACTGGGGTTGATTAATACAAGTCAACATTAACTACCATGTCCCTGCAAAACTCCTGATGGCTCTTTCCAGGCTCCCTCTTCAAAAAGCAAATTTGGATGCCCCAACGTCCTTGACTCCGTCCCAACCACCTAGGTAAGGTTCACCTTAGCAGGTACCAGACCCGAGCCAAGAAAGGGGGTTTGGAGCTTGGGCGGCTACCTTCCTATTTAGTTGAACGACAGCAAAAGGGTTCCACATCAAGAAACACCATGCTCTCAATGTGGACTGTTTGATCCAAGTGTATGATTGGTTTAGGAGGCAAGTCCTGATTTGTTTGTGAAGCCAAACGCTCGAAGTGAGTCTTCGACACTCGCTATACTCTGCCAACAAACCCAGCTCGGTGCCTTGGTACCTGTTGAGCAGCGATCCGCGGCTGTGACGTGCGAAGCGGTAGGTTCAAGGGGCGGGCTACTTAGCAAGTGGGTAATAACCGTGGTTATAACCCACATACCATGGTTATAACTTCCCCGTTCAGTGGGCTATCTCACCAGGCTTACTACCCACTTACCTGACGTACCAAATCGATCGCCCCTTTTATAGGATAAAGTGACACACCCACCAACTGCCGACTTTGACTTTGATCCATCCGGAAACGGTCAACATCATGACCCCAGTGCGAACCCTTCTGCCGGTTCTATCAACTAGGTCCTCCAGTAAAGAGGTTAGAATAAGGGTACCAACTTTTATCTGTTGTCTATTTCAGTAGGGGAACCCTCCCAACCAAAAAAGTTGGTAAAAGGGCCGATGGCCTTTTTCTCATGTAATCTTGACCCCAGATTAATAAACCCCTGTTTATTTATATGGGGGTGTCCCTGGTTTTAGTGGGGACTTATCACTTTTGGAGGGGAACACCCCCACATTAATAAACACCTGGAGTCTCCATGACCCTTGAAAAAATGGTTGCTCATTACCCAAAACGTTGGGGTCATTGACCCATTTTCAAAGGCTCAGAAGGAGACTCCAGGCAGGGGTATATTCATCCGGGTCAACATTATGACCTGTATCACTCCGGGTTCCTACGGTTCTATCAACCTTGTTTGGGGGTTTTGGGGTTTCTGTTCCTGTGACCTTCCTCTCATGTACGACCTGTACTCCGAGCTCGGAAAGCGATGCCACCCCTCCCAGTCCCTCCTGGCCGGCTCGCTCTTGAGCAGCTCCGCGCTGAGGTCTGGGCCCAGCCGCTCCAGCGAGACATCCGCCTGCCGTGCGCGTCGAGGGGAGGCGGAAGACTAAAACCTGCGTAACCCTAGCTCTTGAACGTTGAGCCACAGCCACTTCCTGAGTGAATGGGCCAAAAAAGGTCCACCTGGAGTCTCCATGACCCTTAAATGGGGTCATTAGCCAAAATAATGGGGTCATTCACCCATTTTTAAAGGGTCAGAAGGAGACTCCAGGCAAACTTTTGGGATTGCCAATCCAACATGGTCCAAACCCAAAAAGGTGACTAAGTCCAGGAACTCAAGGAGAGAGTTGAATGACTCAGGAAAACACAACTCACTTCGTGCTCTCCTGGACTTGAGTCACACTTGGACGGAATATGTTGTTGTGACAAACATTTGTTGGACGTTTTAGTTCCTCCACTCGGGAAGTCAGGCGGGTGACAAGGTTGTTTTCTTTCAGCGACCCCATGCATGTTTGGTGTATCCCAACAGCTCCACCTCCCAGATGGAACCACAAGGAGTATGTGAACCCACATTGATTTAACGGTGGTTTGAAGCGAAATAAGTTCGTTCTAGTTCGGGGTCGCTCCATTTCTCATCTGAGAACCAACTTGTTGGAACCTTGCGTCTACGTCTCCGGAAGCTTTTGAAAGTGGGAATCCTAATTACAGCCCGCTTGTAACTATGTCAAGTTGGCCTCGTTTGTGGGTCCATGGGACTGGGTGGGCCACGGGGGGGGGTCCTTAAGGAACCCCAAGGCACCCTAAGGTACCCTAGGGCTCTCAACTACCCACCCTCTTCTACCCCAAAATAGACTCAAACCCAGGAATCGGTTCTCCTTTGGAGGGGAATGAACCACCCCTGGGCTTGAGTCTAGTGTAGTCACAAACATAGGTGTCTTTTTTGGAAAATAGATGGCCCTGGTAGATGATAGAACCACCAAGTAAACCAGGGCCGTCTATTTTTAAGCAAAACAACGAAAAGGGACACCTAGGGTCACAAAGTGGAACCCTGCCTACCCCCCTGGGATTCCACAGGAACCGCTTTGGACCAACCAAGATTCGCCTCGGCGCGCTCCCCATGGAAGGGCGCATCGAAGGCAACTGCCAGGAAGCCCCGCTGGGCCCAGCGTTCCAAATGCTCAGCCACCAACTCCTGGCACAAAAAAAACTGCGGCGGCTGCGTCTCTTTTTAGGCGACCACCCAAACAAAAAAACAAACCAACAGGCGTTTCAGGTGACCCCCCAAAACATGAATGATGTTTTGTTCTTCCTTTTTGCTTTCTCTTTAAACCCACCAACATGGGGGTACTCTCGAAAACCATCACATCCATGTTTAGTAGATGGCCCAAACAAATTCAAACGGCTCTTTTTACCACTAACGCGGTCCTCCCAAAAAGTGACTAAGTCCAATAACTGAGCGTGAGTGCTTCTTCGGGCATAGACGGCCCACTTTGCCCAAAAGGGGAGTCGGCGACGTGTAAACCCCCAGTCCCAACAGCCTTGCTTGCAGTCCCCCAATCCCCACCCTAGATAGGGAACACTTAGGTTGGCGCAAAAAAAGGTGAGGTTTGGACCCAAAAGGGGAAAAAAACACTTGGGAACCTTGGCATCTTTTCGGCCACTGGCCTACCCAAGGCTGTGCACCGACCTTCCAATGGACCCACCCAGCAAAGGTCCTTGCACTTGCCGGTGGCATGCAGCAGCAGCACCGCTGGGCTTCCTAGGGCCTCGAGCTTGGATCATGGCGTTCGAATCCAAACCCGAAACTCGGAGAACAAAAACCACCGAGAAAAGAAGAGCTGGCCATTTGGGTCTGCTGATTTTGGAGGGTAAGCTTCAGAACAGGTTTCGCGGCCCTGAACTGAAGGCCCTGAAGTTCCGCGAAACCAGAAATGGAGACCGTCAAGGTGTAGATCGATTCGCCAAGTGAATGCAGAACTCCACGGATGAAGAACTCCCCCCCCTGAAACCACCCCAAGGCCCTCAAGGTCACAAGGGCATGGCTAAGGCTTTCGAATCCAAACCCGAACCAAGTTCGGAGTTCAAGCCACCAATAATATAGCTGGCCATTTGGGTCTGCCACTGATTTTGGTGGGTATCATGGGTACCGCTTCTTGTCGGAAATTCCGAGGGCTGTACCCCCAGAGACAACACATGTATGGATCTGAATTTTAATTAGGGACCCTTTGGTGGCCATCATTTAGGTGGGCATCTATGATGTCCACCAACCACTTTGGAGGGGGTTCCGACTCTTACAATTCATAGCCATTTTGAAGGTCCGAGGTCTGAGGTTCAAAGTTGCCACCAGACTTTCAGCCACTGCCTGGGCATCTTCTCACGGGGAAAACCCAAAGCCCCGACGCCCCGGATGGGAAAAACCCCAAGCCGCACATCTGGTTGGCTGACGAAAGCGGTCCGACCGAGCCCGCGTGATCCGATGAAGATCCTTCTATACGATACAGGCCGAAATCATGAGACATTTGCGGTTGTGAACTACCTGAAAATCAAAAAGAGTGATGCTTTGTTTAGAGTACCTGGACCCTCAAACTAGCCCAAAAAAGGGGAGTTCATCCCATAATTTCGAGGCAAGAACCCATTTTTGTAAATAATGTTGAGGGTCCAGGTGGACGATTTAGCAATCAATCTAGCCGATGTTAGCAATCTCCATACTGGAAGCTGCCAAGTTGACAAGTTCTGAACCACAACTTTCCAGGGCAAGCACTTGGCCGCTTGTTCGGCTGGTGCATGGACACGGGCCCCGTTTGCGATCCGTTTGCGATCCGTTGTTCGGTGGTGCAATAGATGACCCCTGCTTGGCGCCAAAAACCAGACAAATAAACAGTCATCCCAAGTTTTAATTCCAACTTAGGGAGTAAGAACTACCCCTCTGACCCACTTGTTCCAGGCCATATTTTGGATTACCAGGTTTTCATGGTATATGCCCAAACCCTTTCCTCGCGGGTTAACATAATACGCTCAAAAAGTAAGTAATTGCGGGGGGTGGGGGTACTGACCTGATGAGTGTTTCCGACCAACCAAAGTACTCCAACTTGTTGGGATGCTACGGACAAACCTACATGCAAACATATTCTTTAAAAACGTGTTGTTCAGCTTCCCGACTCGGGCAAGGCTGTAAGGGCTCTTCATAAGCCACGCTCCCAGCTCTCCCACAGCTCCCCGCCCTCAACTTCAACTTGGTCCTGAGTGGGCCGTGCCACCAGCAAGTTGAAGCCGTCTGAGCGTCAGGTCTCATTGGAACATGGGGACCTACTTGGATGTTCGATTTGCAAAGTTAGTAAGTGGGAAAATGCCACGTGGGGTAAAACCCGCTAAAAATGATCAATTCAACTTATGGGGACTTGTAAGGTCATAGCTTAGGTTGCCGACAACTTACTAACTTGGCCGAACACCCCGTGATTGCTGTTGACCCCTCTGCAAAAAGTTGACAACTCCTTGTGGGTTTAGTGGACAACGCCTTGATCCAACAAGTTCAAGTCTAACCATCCAACCTAACAGCAATCAAGACCCAAGCAAAGGGGAGCCATAGTCAAAACCTGGTGCTCTTCCGTCTCACTTCCGTGCACTGGCCAAATACAAGCGGTTGATTGCTCCCGTCGCTACCTGACTTCAACCAAGATTGACACTCAATGTTCTCGGACTCTCCATCCACAAGGGTCACTGTCTAGGCAAGGATCCCTGGAAAGAATGAGGACCTCCATTTGCTTAAGTCCCCTGGAAGACAAAAGTCCAGTAGTGATAGATTCCCTTCAACGCCAACAGGTGAAAATAACACATATTCTTAACCAAATGGAAGACAAAGTGTTCACGAGTATACCAATTAAATGGGAAAACACCCCACGATTTTGAGCGATATCGAATTTCAAAGCGCAGTTAGCATAGGTGACCTGTTGGAAAAATCTATGGGTTCCCCTGCCAAATGGACGGCATAAAACCAATTGGAACCAGTGAAGCCCATCTGGGTTTGTCTTGCTTTGAGAGCACCTCCTTCGAATCGTTTTAAAAGAAAACCAAAAGGACACCCGAGAAAGTTGGGGGGTCCCCTGAAAAACAGAAACACCCATCTATCTCGCATCTGAAAACGACACGGCGCAGTTTGAGAGACACCCTCGCCTTGTGAGGTAAAGGACGGCAGCAGCCGCAAACGTTCCCACATCACCGGCTCGCCTGGACCAACTTGGGCATCATTTTTTGGGGAGACCCCCCCCTTGGGATGGTATCAAAGGGAAACCCCCCTCTTTGGATGGTATCAAAAAGTATCAGAAACCAAAAGGACAATAACCATCTTGGAGGCCTCCATGGTTTTGAGGGCGCCTGGTTTTGGAGGAACTCCCTTTTGAATGCCGAAGAGAAAACGCAAAGGACACTTTAAACAACACAAGGGGGTTCGCAACTTTTGAGACAAACCAACGTTGCCGAATCCAGACAAGTTTGGTGGGCCTGAAGAAACCGTAAAGAACACAGTGCTGGACCGATGTCACTGCAAACACGGCATTTGGGGGGGGGTACCTCACAAATGTGGGGGGGGGGGATGGCTGAATGTCTGTTGATTTAACTTTAAAGCCACCCAACATGATATGCATAATATATATATATATACAGATGTATACATATGGCCATGGGTCAAAATCCCGTACCCCCAGTGAACATCCCAATCCCCACTAAAATAGGCTCTAAAATGGGTGGTGCACCGAAAACCCCAAAATGGGATGCCAAAACGGTTTTGACAACCACAGCCATATATATATATATATATATGTGTGTGTGTGTGCGCACATACAACAAATGCATATGGTGGTTGGGCTAAATTCCTTTGTCTCGAAACGGCCATTCTTCGCGAATAAAAAAGTTACTTTCGCGAATCTTTCGCAGATTCATCGCCGTGCTCTTTTCATTTCTCGAGTCAGAGAATCGCAGCTTTTAAGTGCCAGCGTTGTGAGCGAAATGACGATTTCCCAACTCCAGCTGTAAAGTCGCAACTTTTCATCACAGAGGTAGTACATGACATGCGCCGGCTGGAAAGTCGCAGCTTTTCGTCCGCCGTGCAGCTCCAGCTTGAAGTCGCAGCTTTCCAGTACCAAGCTAGTATACTGACTAGGTCGGCGCTCAGACTATACCTCCCCTTGCAATCGAAGCCTGCGCTTTCGCGCGGGCTTTCGCGGTCGCACCTTTCACTCCCAATACCCACTTGGTTGAGTCAAATTCAACCCCAGCACTAAATCAGCTTCCCCCTACTTGGCTTCCCCTTGGCTGGTTGGATTGAAGGGTCCAACATCGAAAGAAATGTTGGCGCTTGCAGGCCTCCTCCAAACGGAGCGGCCACTCTCGCCTCGAGAATCCTGGCAAGGGTGATGTTTGAACTGCCGCAAGTGCCACAGCTTCAACCCGCTTCACCCCAAAACTCTAGGGGGTACCTCCCATTTCCATTCTTTCCATGGATCCTTCTTTCCAGAGAACCGCCGGAAACCCAGGTTGAAAAGGGATCCAAACAAATCCGGTGAATGAAAAGAACAAGAGTTGATCAGAATGGGGAATCAACCCCCAGAAAGACCTTGTGTAGCCCACCCACTGCTCCAGGCGCTTGCCACCCAGGATTTTCTGTGAGGTTAGAATAAGGGTACCAACATTTTTTCTGTAGTTTATTCTAGTAGGGGAATTCTCCCCCCCCCACCAAAAAAAACGTAAAAGGGCACTACTGGGGAACCTGGCCACCGTAACATAACAGGCAGCCATAAGACGCCATCCCGCTTCACACCACAACATCTTTAGCCCAGCCAGGGCTTTCAGGCGCAAGCCACTGGAACAGGTAGCCAAAAGACACTACTGATCATGAATCCTCTAGAGGTAAGAATACCGAGGGGTTACCTACTATAGTGGTAACTGGAAGTATTGGGCCATGTCTGGGGCGCTGCAAACACAAGACGTGCCGAGTCTGCTTCGCCGATTTGGTTCGTCTTTGAGCATGAAATAGGTTTGGGAGAGAACCATCCCCCAAAAAAACAAAGGGTACCAAGGGACCCTCGTCAAGAAAACACATGCAATGCCCTACTAAGTGTAGCGAGCCAAATCGTGCCAGCGTCGCCGCGCTTGGGGTGGCGCGTCAACAGCCTCCTGCCAAGTGGGCGCATTGGGACAATCGAAGCCCTCCAGCAAAATGTGGTTGGATGATCTCGACAAACCCAAAATACCGAACCCCCAAGAAACTCACTTCCGGGAAGATTGGCCAAACAAAGTCTAAACTGTTTGTCCACCACAAAGACTGTCCAAACGCAAACAGTGAATAAAGTCCGAAACGAACTCCGGAAATGAGGTAAGGAACGTTCATTGTGTGAGCTTCCCTCTAATTGGTGGCTTGGGTTAGTGGCTTGGTGGTTGAGGAAGGGTGTACCATTTATATCCTCAACAAAAACCAGGGGTTCAAATCCGCAAACCACCAACCAAACCACCCATTGGGGGTTACCTCACTGAAAGAGGGCTTGTTATGATTTGAGCAGGTGGCGCCCCTTGAAGCAACAGGAGTTCGCTCCAAATGAGTTGATCAAGGTACTTCTGAGGAATCATCGCCCCACTTTCCATGTGCTTTTTTTCCGTATGAAGCACCACACAAACCAGCCTAAGGGTCTCTTGGTACATTGCCCGTGGAGGTCAAACAAGTTGGTCCCCCCCTTCCCACTTTCCACGTGTTTTTTGGTATGAAAAACCACACAAACCAGCCCACCATGAAAATTGAGGGTTGTCCACCAAATGCTTTCTATGACACTTGAAACAATAGGTCCTCAGTCCCAAACTGGACCTGGGAAAATACTATGCGTGCTGCTAGAGCTCTTTGCTGCAGCGTTGCCTTGTCCCCAATCCATCTTTCAAGAAACAGCGCAGGTCACTACCGTGGGCGTCAGGATTCTCACAAGGCTCATCGGCGTTGATGCTTGTTGGAATTCAACCACGTTTGCCTGAATCTCCAAAAAGGCCTACAGCTCTGGGTCACAAGCGAAAAAGGTCTTGGACAGATTTTCGTGCACTGGCGGGTCGGGGGTTTTTCCGTTTAACAAAACATATCTTACACCAAGTGACACAAACTTGGGCACACGCTGCTAGGTAGAATGTGTCTGTTTGCCCCACAAGCGGCACTCGCGGCTCGGGCAACTACCCGGCTACAAACTGTGAGCCGCACATGGGCCCACGGGATGCGCGACGCTTCCTGCTGTGTTCCACGGGAAGTCGCTAAAACAGGCGATGGCCAGCCAGATTCTTGAGTTTGTAGAACCTCCTCAAACACTTAGCAGAGGCATCCCTCGACGTGAAAACTCCGCCTACCTCGCGGCGCAGCGCGCGCAGCAGCGCGCTGCGGCGCGCCTCCATGGCGCAAGTTCTTCGACGTCTGCTGATGTCGTGTGGATGTCGTGTCGTGACTTGTCCCTTTGGATTTCAATAAGGGGTCAGGTACCCAAAGAGCTTCTCAATGGATCTAGCTAGCACTAGGCAAGCAGCTTTGTTGCACACTGTGGATCAGAAATCGCACCACCGTTCAGCAACCCAGGTTCTGATGACTCACCTACGTAAATACCAAGAAGCAATGGTTTCAAACATGATTTCAAATTGGTGCAGGACTTTTTTGTCAAGGGCAAAGATGTCAAACTGTCAAACCCAAAACCTTGGAATTCAATAATTTGTTCATCTTTGTTCATCAATTTAGACAAGGACAAAGATGTAAGATGGTCAACCTTGACCCAGTGGCTATGAGTGTTTGCCGTGACAAACCTTTCTGAAATGGTAGACATAGATCCTCGAAATGATGTCCACGGTTGGTCTCTCAGGGGTCCACCATTCCGGGACCACCGTTCTTATGTCACACCCCTCTCAGGGTCCCTCCAAAAGAAGCAATCGATTGCTTTTAGGTTTTTCCCTGTACAATGGTCCTAAAAGAGAAGCCTCAAAAAACACACTCAAATCTGGAAGGAAGCTGACAGGCTTAGCGCCATTTCGCGCCTTTCGCCTTGTGTCAACCAAGTGCGGTGTTTATTGCGTTTGAACAGAGCGGCTTCTGTGCTTCATGGCGTGTCTGAAACCTTTCGGCTTCTCTCTTTTCCGCTTCCATCACGCCACTGCGGCAAAAGGCGTTCAAGCCACGAGCGGCGCTAGCGGGGAAAAAATCCCGAGGAGTATGAGCCACAGAAAATCTGGGGAAGCAAAGGTTGGCGATTCTCAATCATGGGTGCGGATATCTGCCTGTTTGACTCTTGAAGCATGGTTCTGGGTACGCCATCTTTCTGCCAGGGTTTGAATGTGACTCGAACATTCAAAGGCGCAGGCTGACGGCTCGACAATCCTTGTTTTTTGGGGGTGTCACGTCAACCCTCGAAAAGGAGGTGTGTGAAAAACTTGGATGTTCAACGTCAGGTAGGTAGGTCACAACCGTGGTTGTAACTGTACCTGGGGTTGGTCTAAGCATGGTTGTAACCCACTTACCTGACGAAGTATGTCTTCTATTTGGGCCCATGACTGAAAATGGACCGAACTGAGGAAACCAATAAGCAGGTCACCCTTGGGCAAGTGAGTTAAAACTGTTAAAACCACCAAAAGTGGGACGCTGAGATTGGCCAAGCATGTTGCTTTCTGTTGAAGGGGAGTTCCGTGGAAATCCATACTAAACAGGTCTCCCCCCAAGAAAAAAGATAACTCTAGGTCTCCCCAATTCATATATCAAACTCTGCCTTTAGCTAAGCCCTTGGATTCAAATTTTAACAATAGTTGGGCTAACGAGGCTAATGCAACCACCATTGCTTGCCCTTCAGGATTGTCACCATCTACATGGGTGTGTCTGCTTCACTGAGGGTACCCATTTGTAGGCCGGTTCAAACCAGGAAAGCAACGCCCTTTTGATTTTTTTTTGGGGGGAGGGGAGTGCCCCTAAAAAAAGACAATACCAACAGACAACACCACTTGTTTGTGTGTGTGTTTTTTTTTGGGGGGCCCTAAAGAAAAAAACCACTGCCTTGGGTCCCCCTTGGGTCCCGCCAGTCTTCAAGGGAATCGGTCCCGAACCTCCGGGCCTCCGACTAAGTAGAGTGGATCCATCTACCTGGTCTTGTAGAAAACAAGCCCGTTCAAAAAACAAAAAAGGAAAATACCAGAGGGTTCGGTAAATGGATCCACTGGGTTAGGAAAATACCAGATTTCCTCTTGGCCTGCCACCCTTCAAAAACCAAAAAGGAAATACCGGGTTACCTACTATATGGGCCTGCCTGGGTAAGTTATAACCCAGTTATACTATGTTGTACTCCCCCATGCCGATTTGTTTGGGGTCATGACTCCAGGTAAAAAAAGGAAGTTCAACCAACCTAGTAAGTATATTATAACTGTGGTGAACATTTGGGTACAGGGGGATGGCTCCCTTACACCTTTGCACTGACATGCTTAGTAAGTTGGTTTAACATCCAAGTAGGGGGCCCAGTTGCGGCGCAGCGCTCTCTCTCTCTCTATCTCTTTTTGCGAACCACGCGGGCGCCCGAGAGAAATGTCTGGGGCGGCTTTGGCGCGGCAAAATCCTCCAGAAAGCGATCTGGCTGCACAACTCTCACTTCCCCGATCGGGCAAATCAAGTCCAACTTTTCTGTGTACCCCACATATCCTCACATAGTCCATGTAAGTAAAATATTCAAACATTCAGCCCAATGCGAGGGATGTGGATCAATATTCAGAGCATGGAGTGACGAAAGTCCGACTCAGTCGAGGCTGTCTGCTCGAGAAGAATTACCTGGCCGCCGCGTAAAATGCAGGATGTCAGGATATGGCTGTGGGTCAAAACCAATAGTACCATTTTGGGGTAGGTGCACCACCCATTTTGGTCTGTCTTAGTCGGGATTGGGATGTTCGCTGGGGGTGCGGGATTTTTGATCCATGGCTTTGCATGGGAGCTAACGCTTCACGCAACCCGTGTAGCTTGTCGGGCAGTCAGGCATGACAAGCAACAAAAAAACAACGCACCTCGAAGGCATGACATTACTGGACCAAACTTAGACCCACTGCAAAAAGTTTACTTTGTGTTGCTTCTGAAAGCAAAAATGATGGAAAACCCCAAAGGCAAAAGGTTGAACAGATAACCCAAAAGGTTCAAGTACCTTGGTAGGATGTCCTTTGACCCATTTTAACCCGGAAGTACATCCTGAGGTTCCAAGAGACCCTCTCAAGGAAAAACGTCCAGGAGTGGATTTGTTTCTAACGGCGCAACTTTTGGGGTTTTGAACCATGGGTGAAATTCCTGGACCCCAAATGGACCCCCTGTTCTCTGCCTTTCCAGGGACATTTCGGCAGAAAAAAAGGAATCGGTCCATTGGGCTGTCCAGGTTTGTGGACCCGGCGGGAAATCCACGCGTCAGGCGGCCAAAACCGGAATCGTTCTTTTTGACAGGGTGGGAACCCTAGCCCCTCCCAAAGACCCACATTTTGCCGGGTATGTATGATGTTAACCCTTGACCAAGAAAGGAGGCACCACCCCGGAAAACCCAGGTGTTTCAAAAAACAAACAAAAAAAGGCGGGCATTTGGGGTAGGGTGTATATTTTCCGCTAAAGGGTGGTGCTGAACATCACTTTTTTGGGCAGGTGAGCTTCCTTTTGGTTGAGTGATGTTTTAGAGGGGCTAAAGAACCGGAATGGGGATGCAGGGCACTTTTAAACCACATTTAGTCATGGCTATACTATATAGGAGTGATGTAGCCACTTAAATCAAATTGCTCATACTTCTGTCTAGTTGCCGGCTGCCCAAAATTGTTGCTTATTGAAGAAAGGGGCAAACAAAGCCAATACAGAATAACAAAAAACAAGAACCACACGAGAATACGACATGATACGATGCGATACATACAATACCGTACTGTACCATACCACACAATACAATGCAATACAATGCAATACAATGCAATACAATGCAATACAATGCAATGCCAAGCCAAACTAATGGCGCACAATCAGGGGTATAACTCACTGACATGGGTATGTTGGTTGAGGGTACATTCTTTATTCATTTTCGCAGCAGCAAGTTCCCGGTTTGAGCAGCACCCAAACCCTGACTTTTGGCCCTACCAACATGATATTTCAAAGGCTTAACAATTAATAAGCCTTATCTGGGGCTTACCCTCATATAACCAAGAGTGGAGCCACCTTACAAAAGTGGCCAACAGTGGCTTTGGGCGCAGCTCAAGCAAAAGGGTGCTCAAAATTCATCTCCCCTAAGATAGGTTAGTTTCCTAGTGAGTTTCCCTTTAAAATTTCAACGAAACGGTGCGACAGCAAAACTCATCGGACGTAATTATCTGCCGAGGAAGTTTGCCCCTCCACCCAGCTCAAGCCGCGCCTTTCCCGAAGGCCGACGCGAAGGCGGCAAACATCTTGGCTGCCACGGCCTGCCAACGAATCGCGTCTTCGATTCGCGAGAGCGAGTGGTTCACCAAGGTTACCATTTCCTTATAGAAGTCCCCCCCTCGTTATTCGGCCAAGTTAGCAAGTTGTTGTTCACCTAGGTTACAATGCCCTTGTAGAAGTCCCCCTAAAGTTGTTCGGCAAAGTTAGCGGGTTGTTGTTAGCCTAGGATATAATCCCCTTAGATGTCCCCCGTTCAGTGGAGTTAGCCTTGATACTAGACGGGTTGGCAAATCACTTTCTTGGCGAATCGAACAGCCACAGAGCAACAGCTCAAACTCTCTGCAACCCATGGATCAAACCCTCAGAAGTCGACCAACACTCCTAAGGTTTTGGTTTGGTACCTTATGAGGATGTGCGTGGATGTAGCAGAGGCCCCTCTTTGGCCTCATAAGTACGTATGGGACCGTATGGGTTTAGGGTAACCCCCCAAAATGGTGGTTTCCTTAAAAATGGCTACCCTCACCCCTCAGTCAGGTGCAGCCGGCTGGGGCTTCACGCGTACTGCTCGGGGTCGGAGAAGCCTGCGCGATGGGGCAATTGTGTGAGACGAACTTGGACGCCCTAACCCTCAAGTGCACATATGAGACTCAGTTGCCGCTTGGGGACCCAGAAACGACAGCTTTGCCTTTTGGAACCTTGACGAACATGGACCAAAATGGGGAAACCAAAAAGGCCAAACGTCGGCTTGGGCAAGCGAGGAAGAAATAATTTCTTCTATATCAATATGATAACTTGGTCTACATTAATACAAGAACGTGTTCACGTGAATCTAAAGAAATGAACAATTGGCTCTTGGTTTGGCGACCCCTCCCCTGCAAAAAAAACAAACAAGGAAGAAAGAGAGCTCTCGAAAGTACTCCTCGTTGATCCGCGCTCCTGGAGCTTGCAAAGCTGACTAAAGGTGTTTCACGAAGTGAACGATCCCTCGCATGGACCGCCAATTGATCAAACAAGGGCTGAACAAAACTGCAAATCTACCATGCCACAACTCCTGAACTACTGTGGACGAA